TTTGAGTAGATGCCAGTTTTCAATTTAGGTTTACGACACGACTGTTAGAAAAGTGTGTTGGATACAGGATGAATGTGAGCAGTATGAATGGATTTCTCATGATCATGTGACCTTCCCGCATCAGTTGGTCCTATTCATTAATTTTCTCGCATTGCATCATGGGAAGTGTTGTCACGATAAGGGAATTCAATAGTAATTGATACTTAAAAAAATAAATGTCCATTTGCCGCTAACATCAGTGCTGATTTGCTACTGTGTTCACGTGCTCAACAGAAATGACTGTGATTGGCCGTGAAGGTCATCGGTTCACCGAACTCGCCACTGTTTACGGAGTGTAAACATAGATACTCGGACACTGGAGCATTTTAAAGCCGCAATTCATCAGCAGATAGATTGTATGTCAGCTTCTAGACAAACCAGCTGATCGACAGTGTCCCTGTATTTGTGGTTACATAGTAAACATCGGTGAGTTCGGTGAACTGATGACCTTTGCGGCTAATCATGGGCTGCGTCCGAAACCATATACTTCCGTACTATACAGTACACTAAAATCAGTATTCGAGCCGAGTAGTATGTCCGAATTCAGATAATTCGAAGATCAGTTGGCGAGAAATACCCGGATGATGACTTACTAGTTCCGGCAAGATAAATTCTTTGCGAGAGAATTAATGAATGGAACTGAAGGGACGCAACTAATGCAGGTAGGTCACGTGACCATGACAAAATGGCGGATGTAGTACGTCCAAATTCCATTCATACTTTTCACCTTCATACTGTATAGAACGTACTTTTTCTATCGGCCGTGTAGTACGTTTAAATTCAAATGCAGTACCTACTGAGTAGTAGGCGGTTTCGGACGAAGCTACAGTAATTTCTGTTGAAAATGTGAACACAATGGCAAATCAGCACTGATTAAGAACGTGCTCAAATGTTCATGGGAAATCGTTTAGTACTGAATTCCAGTATCGTGACAACCTTAATCATGGGATAGCTTAGGGTCCATTGGATGTGCACTTCAGAATCTCGCCAGAAGTAGTAGGACATCTGGGAACTTCACATACTGTTTTTCAAATAGTATGAGTTTGGACATTCTACTCGGCTTGCATACTGTTTTTACATACTATATAGTACGGGAAGTATGTGATTTTTGGACGGCCAAAGGCTTGACACTATTTTCTAAAAGATTGCAGACCTGTGGAGAATAAAACCCTACAACTTTAGTCCTTGAGCAGAGATGAAAAACTATGGGGTATGTTCTCTGTAACATCAGGTAAGAGACATTGAAAGAGTTTTAATAAGGTGTGTGTTGTGGTAATTTAAAAAAGCATTTTCAAGCTGCTATTTTCAAAAAGTATCACTCACAGAATTTCTATCATATTTTGGAACCATTCCAATAGAAATCGTCTTGGTGACTAGACAAAAAGATCCATCAAACACAGCCCTGCAGAGTTTAGTTCCAACCTTGCTTCAACACACACACACACACACACACACACACACACACACACACACACACACACACACATACACCTGCTGGGTTTAAACAAGCTAGAAGGATGCAATTAGTTTGATCGGGTGTGTTTAATTACGGTTAAAGCTTGCCTGCAGAGCTGTGGCCTTTTTGTTAGTGTGTAGCTTTTGAGGCTGATTTATTTCTCTTTGTTTGTATGTGTAATGCCACTAAGTTAGACACAAATCAATGATCTGTCAGTTATTTACGAATATTTGGAATATATCTTATTTTGCTGCAAATTATTTTGAACGTGTGACAGAGACGAAGCTCCGCCCACCAATTCTACGCAGAAAGCAACGGTCCTGCGTAGAACTTTGGAAGTTCCAGGCGTCAGGGAGAATTTTGCTCCTTTCTCGCTTTTTAAAATATGTTTATTTATTTATTTATTTATTTAGTTAGTTATTTTTATTTTATTTTACCGCGTTTACAAGCGTGCCAACTTTTAGTTATTTCAAAAAATCTCTAACCTAAGTTACACGACGTTGTTTGCGCGGCAAAAAGGCAACTCCTCTCCTTTAACCTGATGTTTTGAGGGCCGTCTCCAGAAACCATTTCTATCAACAAAGGTAAGATTAGTATGTGCTTAAGGCTAATTTGTACTTTTCTTAACGTTAACGTTATGTATTTTTTTTAAAACACAAGCCAGCGTTTTAAACGTTCACACAGACAGCATAACGGCTAATATTAACGTTACCTTTATTGCTTTGAACGCTAACTTACTGCTCATAGCCTAACATATTTATTCAGGACTGGGTACGTAGAAACCTTTTTCAAATGTGTGGAAGCAGAGAGAAAAGTTATATTACATAATCACTGATATGTTTAATGTGTAACCTAATGAAATGGCTGGCTTTTGGTTTCACTTTAACTTACATTTTACAAGAGAAAAAGTCATTAAAACTCCCTCGCCAGAAATAAAGATTTGGCTATTTGCTATATACACTTATTTGTATTTTAGAGGTCAAGGTGGAATAAAGGGTTAAAAATAAATGCCAATTCCGTTTTAAAATATTCTTACATGCGGGTCAAAGCTGACAGTAACGCAAGTGCACGAGTGAATGGCGCCATCTAGTGGAGATCTTGAGCCGAATTTTGTTTGCTAATGATTTAAATGAAAGTTTTTATTATTAACGTCATAATAACCTGTTTGTCATTTTATTAAATTACTGAATGCTGTTATACAACTGATTTAGTTCTTTAATTAGTGTTTAGTAATTTTATATAATTTTTTTTGTAAAAATGATGATTAGGGGAGGGCTAGTCATCTTTTCTGTCCTGATAATGTCTCTCACATTATTTTATCTCACAGTACTGTTTAAGCATTATCATAGATTGTCAGTCATTTTACAATATGCTGCAATAGATTTGAACATGTATTTATTTGTCATGTATACATAGAGGTATGGGACGATAACCGGTTTTAAGGTATACTGTGGTTTTAAAAAGTCAAGGTTTTAAAACCGTAAATTTTCTGTTATACTGTACCTTAGATATTTGTGTGTGTATATATATATATATATATATATATATATATATATATATATATATATATATATATATATATTTTTAATATACGTATTTTTACGACTATTTTATTTATTTATTTTTTTAGGGCAACAGTTGAAAAGGATCCTCCACATCACAAGCTACAGGTTAGTCCATGATTCAGGAAACATCTGAAGAACAAATCGCTTGTATACAACATCCAGCATGCTGTAAAGCTGAACAGTGCAGTGGCTTACTTTATATCCAAAGAAAAGAAAGATATCCAAAGATGCCTTTTCAAGTAATTAGGACAGCAGAAGTCAATGAGTTATTTAAATTATTTAGCCTAACATATATCGTTTTTAAAATATTTTAAATGTAAAAAAATATACTATGTTCAATGGGGAAAAGTTGTTTTTTAAACATTATTTAAAAAGAACATTTTAGAGCAGCAATTACAAAACCGGGATATTTTTACCCAAGGTTATCATATAGTCAGAATCTTTTACCGGCCCATGCCTAATATCATGAAACATTATGGCATGGATATTGATATGAAAGTCTTGGAAAAGTCGTGGAATTTTAGAAGTAAAATGTGTCTGAATCCTGAAGTATTTACATGTAAGCATGCTGTGAACTTCGGGTTTTTGTATGTCTTTTTACTTGATTATGTCAAAACAATTGAAAGAGCAGCTGAATTTACCTATACAGGTTTATCATCAGAATATTTGTACAATATTTGTACAAATATACATAATATAATTTTTTCTACCGCATTTGCCCACTGGGTGGCAGAAGTGACAACCCTGTATTTGTTTAAAGGCATTATTTTAAGTTAAACTTTAGATTCTGTGGATTTCACCTCTGCTGTCGTAGATTGTTTAGTTTACCCAGGCCTGTAGCCAGAAAGGTGGTTCGGAAGATAAAGCTCCAGAATTGTCCCATACTTGAGCTCATTTGTTCTATTTTGACTGACATGCGATCATAAATAGTGGAAATAACCCATCAGTAAAGGCTTTAGTTTTTAGACCGTCAGCTTTTTCAGTGTGACTTAAGCTAATCAGTTTTGGCCAATGCTAACAATTATTATTCATGAGTCCAACATCCAGCTATAAAAACGTACAATCCGTTATAAGAGAAGACAAGACATCTTTTGCTACTGTAATGTTTTTAAATAGAGAAAACATACAAGTAACTAAACCCTGGACCTTACTCTTGATACAAAAAAATGAGCAATAAAAAGGCGTGAGGGGCAACATAGTGGTGCAGTGGGTAGCACAATCACCTCACAGCAAGAAGGTCACTGGTTCGAGCCTCGGTTGGGTCATTTGGCATTTCTGTGTGGAGTTTGCATGTTCTCCCAGTGTTGGTGTGGTTTTCCTCCAGGTGCTCTGGTTTCCCCCACAGTCCAAACACGTGGTGTTGGCGAATTGGGTAAGCTAAATTGTCCATAGTGTATGTATGTCAATTTTCCAGTGATGGGTTGCAGCTGGAAGGGCATTCGCTGCGTGAAACATAAGTTGGCGGTTAATTTCGCTGTGGTGATCCTTGATTAATAAAGGGACTAAGCCAAAAGGAAAATAAATAAGGCGTGAAGCACCAAAAGTGGACCATATTAAAATAAATTTGAATGCTATTTTGGCTATTGTTGTCGTCCGTGAGTTTTCAAACATACTTTTTTTACATATTATATGTATTTTTACAAAATAACTTACCCAACGCTGTCGCTTACGAGTCAATAATCCAAAGCTTATTCAAATGGCAGATGTTACTCTTTAATTAGGATGTTTATTGATGTATTAATTGATAATATTATTTCTCAGAGAACAGAACAAAACAACAATAAAAGTTAGTTTACAATTGTTTTTACAAAAAAACAGCTGCCATTTTATTGAATAATGCCTAAAATTCTGCACATTAGTTAGTAAATGTGTTTGCGCAGTCGTCTGTTTTGTCCTCTTTGGAGCCAGAGGGATGCTGGCATAGTAAGACAATGAGATGATTGTGATTTGCACAAAGCTTTATTTAGAGAGAAGGCAGATTACACTCAACATGCACATTTAACACATCTCGCACTACGTTTTTTGTAGTTTACAATGCAGATGCTAATAAACGAATTACAGAGCAAGCTATGGATTCTAGTCATCTTTAAGCTAAAAAACATCAGAGACCAGTTGCATAAACATCCACCATTTTAAAGCAAATTGACTAATAAGCAGTTAGGCTGTGGTTAATAAGACCTACAATTAACATTATTATTTGTTATTAAGATAATGTGGACATAAAGCAGTTTCTAAAATAGAAATTTTGCATGTCGCCATCAACAATATTATAGCAATATAGGGATTTTTGCTGTTGGAGTTCAAATCAGATCAGTTAACCTACTTGTAACTCTTTAAAATGTTTTGGCTTGCCATTGAGCTAAAAAATTGAAGACTAACTTTTTAAGACTAGTCTCACACTGTGTTCTAACAATACGCAATGTAACAAGATTCAATTGACAAGCAATTTGTCTGTCTGCACCAAAAGCGACATGACAGAAATTTTGCACATCGCCATTTTTGATGGTCAGGACAAAACCTCCTTTTTAAAATGAAAGGTGCCTTTTATCACGTGCCTGTTGTTAGGACATAGTGTTAGTTGTTTATGCAGCCAGCCCAAAATTGAACGACAATTGCAAAATTAATACAGAAGATTCTGAAGCTCTCTTATTTACATTTGTTCGAAAATAGCTGTACATTATTTTTCTTTAATTTTTCCTTCAGAAAATTCTGTAGTGCAGCCAGGCTTTCGCCGTTAAACGCAGCTGTGCTCTTTTCTTCATTTGTGCCACAGTACGCCTTGGTGTCCCACAGTCCGGTATTTTTGTTATAGCAGCAGTACGCCATCCACATGTGCGAGGGAATGTTCACTTTGTCGTTCAGCTTTTTGTCTCCAGGTATCACTCCGGTCACCACGTAGGCCTCAACCTTGTTATTGACGTTAATACAGTTATTATCCATGTGGGTTTTGAAATTGTTTTTCTTTTGATTCCATGTGACTTCATTAAATGTCTTCTCCTGTGGCACGGCATTGGTCAGGGTGAATGTAGACTTGGCTGTATCTAGATCAACAGCGTGTCCGCTTGGAAATAAGTGGCCCCGGGTCATCTGTATGTTGTTCCTGTAGTCACTGTTCTTAGCCTGGTCATCTTTAAGCTACAGAGCAAATAGTAAAGAAACAAATGGATCATTAGTACAATTTTACTGGAGTGTATTAGAGTTGACATATAAACCTTTTTCTGCTTGTGTATGCTGATTTTCAAATCATGGGTTGCACTTCCTGTTGGAAGCTTTTGTTTTAAATATGGATACAAACAATCTAGTGAAAACAGTATGAGGTACGGTTAGCATTGTGCTTCATTTATTTTGAAAATAATGTTGTACTCTGTATTTTAACGTGCCATCACAATCACAAGAATAGCAACCCAGGCTCATTCTGGAAATGTAGCCCCGCGGATATTTTTGGAGACAGCGAAATACATCCTGGGAGGTATGTATTTGTGCAGTTTTTGTTTTCGCGAATCTACGCCATTCGTAACCGCTCTGTTTTAGCGTAAAGCCGCCGGAGGCCGCTGTCGAGCGATTGTCTGTCCGACTGACTGAACGACGGCTGACCCACCCTCCTTCCCTAAACCCAAGCAACGATTTATAAAAGTCGTCCAGAAAAAAGATAAGTCCTCGTCTAATTTTAATTGCGTTTACGGTTTTACTGTATTCTCGCCCCAATATAAACTCATTTGGTTTATTTTTTGTATTCTGTTTTCTGTCTCACCTGATTTCTGGAACCCCTCTGGGCCTCCGCTCTGCCAACGTAACACGACGAGCTAACCGGACGAACAGGTTGCGGCAGGAAAGCCCTCCACACGGAGGTAAGCCGTCAGCCGGCGAGTGTGAAGAGAAGCGGCGTCACACTGCCCCGAAGCGTTCGCATAAGTACCTCCGGCCACGTAAATCGCGGTCTCCAGAACCGTCCGCTGGGTTACGTATTTAGAATGAGCTTGGGTTGAAGAATAGCCAACGAAATCAAACAGCAATTCGTAACTTTTTGATTAGTGGCTAATTTGTAGGGCTGGGCGATTCATTGAAAAGTAATCGAATCGACATTCAGAACCTATAATTGATTCTATTTATAATTGATTGATTTTAGTTTCTGTTAAGATTAGTCGGTTCCAACTATATTCCTGTAGCCTGCAGACTGCCAAGTGCAATAATTTCATTATTTATTTATTTATAGCATAACAAAGATCCATCATCACCGATTGTATCACCTATATTGTAATTAGTAACTTACAGAAGTAAATACTGTAGATCTGTAGACTGTGGATTATATTTAAGCACCGACTGACTTTTAAAATATAAACAAAGCAAGAGAATTACCTCAGGCTCAATCCTAAATCGAGAGTGTGGCTTCGTGAAATTTCCTTTTCCAGTGTATTTGTAGGCTGAGAAGGTGGGGATTTTATTGGTTGTGTCGTAGAGAGTTGCGAATCTGACCGCGTTCTGGTATTGTTGGCAGATCAGCTTGTAGCGGTTGCTGTTCTGTGCTGCTGAATCCTTCAGAATGTCAGGAATCACGGGAGGCTTTCCTTCTAGAAAAAACTGACTGCATTTACTGAATGAATCTACAACATCAGTCTTGATGAACGGAAAACCGAACAGCAGCAGTGCAGAGACGATAGACAGATACATCTTCAATCACACGCTGATATGATTCACAAAGCAAAACCGTGTCTAGGCTAGATGTAGCAGAGCGTCAGTAGCAGCGTTAGCATCCAGAGATGAGAACGGGTGAGGGGGGAAGTGTGGATGAAACCAAAGAGGATAAGTGAAGGGGGGAGACTGAAATAGGCTTGCTATGGATGGTGACCATCTGGTGGTCATACAAACAACAACTGCCAAACTGTGTAACAGCCACTGGATTCACTGGGTCTGCATTATTTTTACATTTTATTTATTTAATTTTATTTTTTATTTTACTTAAATTTTTTTTATTTTATCATTTTATTTTATAATTTTTTTAATTTAATTAAATTTAATATTTTATATATATATATATATATATATATATATATATATATATATATATATATATATATATATATATATATATATATATTTTTTTTTTATTAAATTTTTTTCAAAAACATAAATAAATGGATTTTAGTCTGATTTTAAAAGTCAAATAAATCAAACAAAAATACATAAACTCTACAAAAGCTTTATATATATAAATTAAAACAAATTATTATTGCTATAAAATATTAACAAAGAGCAGCAAATGATAGTAAATATGTGCATTACAAACCAGTGTTTTTATGATTATATTAATACATTTAAATAGCATAACAAAACGGCTGTTTGCTGTATTAAGTAAATGAAGTGTTCAAGTTATAAATGGCTGAATTTAGGGCTGGGTGAATAATCGTACATTGAAATTAAGATTCAGAACCTATATTCGATTCATTTTTTAGGTAAATTTTTTCACTTTCTCTACCGCAAGTGGAGTCATGTAACCTCGCTCTGTTAAGGCTGATTTAAACTTCTGTGTTGAACACTCAGGTGGTCTGGCACACCTCTCAAAACTGTAACTACACATCACACGTTTGCGTTACATTAAAGGTGATTGAAAGCTGAGCCAGAGATGCCTTGAGATGGCATATTTTACATTACAATAAAAGTATTATTTATTTGCATGAAAAAATATTTGTTTACAGAAGATTCTAGAAATGCAATGTTTAAAATATTATTATACAGGATTTTATTCAGAAAAGATGCTGCTTATTTTCTACTTTTAATAACAAAACTTTTAATGAAAAAAAATGAAAATATTTAATTTTGTTTCCAAAAGTGCAAGTTATTTATTTCTGACTGTTGGTTTCAGACATTGTTTGTTTCAATTACAGTTGTTTAACATTGATGTTCAAAAAATAATCATAGATTGTAGATAATGTGTAGATAATGTGTGCACTTCATTTAGAAAACTCTCACTTGTAATACGTGAGCATATTTACTGTACAAAACCTCTCCGTAAACTATGACTAAATGGATAAATAAAATAATCATTCATTAATCATAATCGAGATAAAATGTTCAATTAATCATTATTTAAATTTTTAGTCTAACTTTTTAGTCTCCACTACACTTCCTAATCTGCAATTGCCTCTCTGAATATCACACTAACTGTACCCAAAAAACAAAAAAACAAAAAACAAAAAAAAATACTCTAATACTACTAATACTTCCCTTCTTAGACTTTACAGACCTGAAACTTGCCTATAGCACTTAATTATTGTTGCTCTTAGTTGTGTAAATTGCTTCCTTGTCCTCATTTGTAAGTCGCTTTGGATAAAAGCGTCTGCTAAATGACTAAATGTAAATGTAAATTATAGGCCAAATCGCCTGCACAGTTGCACTAAAATCAAACTTTATTTTAAATAAATGTTATTATTCAAACATTGTTTGGTCAGAAGATGTGATGAGAAGCTGAAGATCCATATTAGAGGAAGTTAGAAACTTTTTTATTTATTTGAAGACACTTAAAGGGATAGTTCACCCAAACACGAACATTTACTCACCCTCAAGTGGAGTTTTATTTCTGTGGAAGACAAAAGATTTTTTGTAAAATGTTAGCAATAACAACTTCTATTGAAGATGATGGTTGCTGGTTTCCATCATTTTTCAAAATACCTCATCCCTTTAAATGCCCACTCTACCAAATGGTTGACCATATATTTGTTTAACTTTTTTTTTTTAAATAATGGTTTACACACAGCATTGTTGGTTTACAAAAAATAAATAAAATCTACTACACTGATATTTTAGAAATTATGGAATGTGTTGATAAAATTGCATTGTGTTAACTAGCGACATTAGGAGTTAAGAAAAGCAATCCAAAGATTTTTTTTTTCTGGTGGGGCAGTTAAAGGGTTATTATGTGTTCAACAGAAAACAGAAGCTCAAACAGGTTTGTGACAAGTGAAGTTTGAGTAAATGATGACCGAATAAACAGTTTTGGTGAACTATCCTTTATAGGAAACCTGTTAAAATGGTTTATATTATATTAAAACATTTGAACAATAACAGAATAAGTCGGTAAATTTGTTTTTGCAGATGGCTTTATTATCAGAGATTTTATTGAGCATATTAAGAGAATGAGACTATTGCGATTTGCACAAAGCTTTATTAGTGAGAAGGCAGGTTACATTCAACATGCACAACTAGCAACATGTTTGTTTATATATATATATATATATATATATATATATATATATATGCATGCATGTATGTATGTATGTATGTATGTGTATATATATATGTGTGTGTGTGTGTATATATTTTTTTTGCGAAATAAGCAAAAGACAGAGCAAGCTGTGGATTCTAGTCATCTCCAAGCGTGAAAAGACACGATTAAAGACACGTTAACTAAAACAATCCTTGAATTCCTAACTCTGTTATTTACATTTGTCAGGAAAGAGTTTTATATTCAGGAACGCCTGTAATGCAGCCAGGGTTTCTCCTGGAAGCACTGCTCTGCTGTTTTCTTCATTTGTGGCACAGTACGCCTTGGTCACCCATTTCTTTGTGTTTTTGTTATAACAGCAGAAGGCCATATACATGTGAGTGGGAATGTTTACTTTGTCATTCAATAATGTCTTTTCACTAGGTATCGCTCCGGTCACCACAAAGGCTTCAGGTCTACCATTATTGCTCAAGCAGTCTGTATCCATGCTGCTTTTAAACTCATTTTCCTTTTTACTCCACTCACCATTATTAAATTTCTTCTGCTGTGGCACAACATTGGTCAGGGTGAATGTAGCATAAGCAGCTTCTTGATCAACTGCATAAGATTTTGGAAATAGATGACCTCGAGACATCTCTATCTTGTTTGACTGTCTGTAGTCTTCATTTTTAGCTTGAGCGTCTTGAAGCTACAAAACACATGATTAAAGAGAGAAACGGTCAATACACACTGTAAAAAATGCAGGGTTCCACAATTAATTCACCCAACACAAATCAATTAAATTAACTTTTCAAATTTAAGTAGATTAAACATAAAACAATTAAGTTATCCCCCCAAAAACATTTTAAATAAGTAGTTTGAACAAGCAGCAAAACTTTTTTACATAAGAAAGACAGTGTAGAGAATCAAATCCTGTACATTACCTCAGTGTCAATCACAAAGGTTTTCTTTCTTTTGGTTTTTACGTCAGTTTTAATATAGTTGTACGCTGAGAAAACAGGGATCTTCTTGGTTGTGTCATAGAGAGTTGCAAAGTAAGCTTTATCTTTTCCTTGGCAGATGAGCTTGTAGCGGTTGTTGTCCTGTGAAACTGAATCCTTCAGAATGTCAGGAATGACCGGAGGCTGTGCTTCTAGAAAAAACTGACCGCATTTACTGAATGAATCTACAAGTTTAGTCACAATCAATGGAAAACTGAACACCAGCAGCACAGAGACAACAAACAGACGCATCTTCAGCTTCACACTGAACCAAAAGTAGAGCAGAAACGTTGACGTGATGTACTGCAATCCCTGAAGAGGATGCACCTGCAGAAAGACCCAGCTGACTTTATATAGACCTGCAGTTGATAAAGATATAGATATACCCATTCACAAGTGAATATATGTATTTTTAATCAGCTTCATAAAGTGATAAATAGACATTTACATTCTTTCATTTGAATTTATCCACTGATATTAATGTGTGTATAAGAAAAGATATTACACTCACTCACTCATATTAGCTTATGGAAATACAGCCTTATATCTGATCTCAGTGCAGTTATGCTGCTTTAGCTTAGAAAAAGTTTATCAGAAAAAATATAGTTCAAGTTTTATAGAAAGCATTCTTTCCTAAAGAGAAATGAGACGGTAATAAGAAGAAATTAGGAATAGAAATTCAAGATCCCTAATGACTGGTTATATAGTTTTAAGACCCAACTTCTACTTTATTTCACAAGTGTTTCATGCTCCTTTCTTAACAAAGAGCTTAATTATCACAGAGAAGAGAGTTCCTCAAGTAAAGTGTTTAAGCATTTAAATAATGTCTTTGGAATGATAATTTACTTCTTGTAGCATGGGAGAGGCAGCGAGCCATCAAGAACCATCTGATGACCAAAAGGAATTCTGTTTAAACTCATTTATCATAGTTGGTATTCTCACCTGAAAGTCCACTCAAGATCTGGGAACGGAAGAGTATTACTTTTATTGTTGTTCTCAATTTACATTCAAAGCGAGAGCTTATCAACATGTTAAGTGGGTATACCGAAGGTCTGGCATTGCTATTCTTAATTTACATTCAAAGTGAAAGCTTATTTACATGTTAAGCGGGAAGAAACAGTATAAGATGTTTAAACGGAGGATGATCGGGATTCAATTCCAACTCCGCTAAATCCGAAGTGTTGTCTCTACTTTGACACTACTAAAACTTATTTTTTTTCTTTGAGACGTTCTCATCTACTTTCTTACATAGTGCATTATAATGCAATATATTGCACACAGTCACCATTACAATAATATTCATTAATTGATTTTCCTTTGGCTTAATCCCTTTTTTATCAGGTGTCGCCACAGTGGAATGAACAAACTATTCCAGCATGTGTTTTACACATTGGATGCCCTTACAGCTGCAACCCATCACTGGGAAACACCCATACAATTTCATTCACACACTCATACACTGACCAATTTTGTTTAACCAATTACCCACGTGTTTGGACTGTGGGGGGAAACCGGAGCACCCGAAGGAAACCCACGCCAACATGCACATCCCACACAGGAATGGCAGCCGGCACTTGAACTAAGTGCTGTGAGGCGACAGTGTTAAGTCACCATGCTGCCCTCAATAGCAGTATAAATGCAGCATCGAATCGCAGACGTGTGATAAATTTATTTTTTTTTTTGTTTGTTTGTTTTTATATGCGCTGTTGTTTGTCTAAGTTTGACCTATCAGATAGCAACTTACTTGAGAAACAGCCAATCAGAGTCAGAATATCTGCGGAAGATATTACTTTTTCAAAGTGTTTTAAAGATGAAATGTTGGCCTTTTGACAGTAAAAAAAAATCATAAAATTATTTAAAAATACAGCTAATAAGGGAAACGTTACATCGTAAGAATTATCTTTATCACAATACTCAACAACAGTATCGCAAATTGTATATTTCTCCAGTATCACTCAGCCCTCCTACCAACTAATAACTAGGGTCTCGACAGTCTTAAGATATAAGGACTATTTAAATATATGTAACATGTAAAAATTATATCTGAATTCACTGTTAATATTCTGAAAAGCAGAAAAATGTTGCACTTTATTTCTTTGTGCAAACAAAGAGATCATTAAATTAGTATTAAAAGGTTTAGAGTTTATATATATATATATATATATATATATATATATATATATATATATATATATGCTGGTTGAATTTCAATTTTGACAAAATATCATTCATTTGCCATGAGATTATTTGTTACAGGCTATACTGTACTTTCTAAATTATTTGAATATGGTTAAAAAATTAAAAGCATTTTGTACAAAAATCCCCAAAAAGTTTTGATTAAGATGTCTTTTAACTCATTTAACGTTTTTTTTTTCTATAGATGACAACCATAAATATAATGTATAAACAATCCTTTTTTAATAGTTTTTCCCATTTTATTTTAAACAAAGTACTGTAAACATTTATGAAGCAAGATCATTTTGAGATGCAAGATCACAACTCATGGATGATGATTACATTGTGGTAATTTTGAGTTAATAGATACTATTTTGTTTAGTAGAGAAAGTGCTCCGTAACATTTTTAAAAATTGATTTCTCTTACAAATGTCAATAAGAACCTAGTCGGTTTCCATTCAAACCTATAGGCGTATTCCTGTACTTCTTAATTTAGTCTTGTTTTATAGGATTTACATGCCCTATTATTTGCAATTAATAATGTAGTAGACATTCTATTAGAATCTTGTGCATGTTTCATAAGATGATTTCGTTTGCATTTACATTCAGTCGCTGATATCAGAACATCAGTTTATCGATCAAGCGTATTAAAACTCCCTCATTTGCTTATTTGAAATAGAATTTGATGTGTGACCACAAGTTGTGTTCTGTTAGCTTTATGGAAATAAACCTTGTGAGTATCTTACTGCAAAATTAAAGATACCAAAATATCTTTCAAGATGCACTTGTAGTGTTATAAAACACTTAATATAACATTTTAAATGTAAAAAATACCGCAACAATCAGTAAAGTGCATATTACATAGAAAGGCTTGAGATGTGATCATAACAAATGGGATTTAGTGGACTTATTCAACAAAATAGATGAATTAGAAGTCATGGAATGTTGTAGGTCAATTGTTAAATGAAGTATTCACATTTTGAAAGTTCATCACTTATTATCTTTTTAAGTATTTTTTTCTATTACATGAACGGCCTTGACATTTTTACAACTGTGTTGTGTTTAAACCTGAATATGCAATGTTTAGTAGAACTGAAACAAAAAAGGCACAAAGTTATATATGTATGTGTATACCGTATGCGAGACCTTTATAAAATGTTTGCTTTTTTTATCACCAAAATACATAGAGCTCATTTTTAATTTTTTTTTGCTACGACACTAAACAAGACATTTATTTGATGTTTTTAATCAAGTCAAACTAGCTTATTTTGATATGCATTGAAAAACAAAAAGCCCACACGAAGCAAAATATTCACAACGACTACAGTATAATCAGTTAGTAATATTTAATTTTTTCCTTGTATTTGATTACAGCTCTTGTGCATTTCTCAGCACTTTACTCTTTAAAGATTTTTCTGTTTAAAGTTTTTCAACAAAAAACTTTAGTCCAAATAATGGATGAAGTATGAATTTTTCAAGGCAGGACATCACTTTAGGCCTCTAGTGTATGTTTGTACAATTAATAACGATATTACAATGCAAACAATACTCTCTTAAAGTCACGTTAGTCAATAAATCAAATAATCCACATTAATGCTGCAGGTGCGAGTTAGTTCTTTTAATATTACTACTTGTAGTCAAGCGCATTATTTTTATAAACACAAACAACATAATCTTAAACTCTACAATAACCTAAAAGCTTTAAATAGACTGGGATATTTTAATTGTGTTGCAACTGGACAAGACTGTTTTCCATATTATTGGAGTATCTCTACATGTGACCTGCTTCTAAATGCATTTACTTCCATTCGAAGCCATGAAAACGTATTGAATCAAACAGCTGCTGCAGCTTCACAGATGAATCTTTTCTTCTGAAAACAGTAAGCATCTGTCCAGAAATCTGTCTCTCCACCTGGGTGACCCAGACTAGCGCAGTCTTCACCATCCACATGCTGTTTAGTCCAGTTATCAGGCTCTCTGACCCCATTCTCTCGCTTTATCCAGAACCTGCAGAATGAAAAATAATACATGCCTTTTAGTGGATTTATATATTCGCAATTTTTTTTCCCATGCAAAGGTTGTATTTAAAACGTTAATAACTTACTCTACTGTTTGGCTCAGTGGCTGGTTGTCCACCCAAATCCAGTGTCCCTCAGTGTCCAAATCATTAAGACCAATCCAGTGAGTCTCTTTAACATTAGAGGTTAGAAAATCCTGATGGATGACAAATAGCATAACATTATAAATAACATTTTTTCAAAGTATACAAATTAGTACATGGTTTCTAGTGTGTTCAGAGACATCTTCCGTTAGTATTTATTGCTTTTAAAATGGCAGGCAAAGGACTGTAGACTTACAGGAGCAAATTAATTTCGATTAAAACGGTACAGTTTCACAAGCTTGCAATCTCTACACTCATGAACATGTTTGCTATAATGAATCTAATAACTATATATAATTGTATATTAGACATAAGTGTCTCGTCAGAAGTCACAAGGATGGATTTGGACTTGTTTGCATGTGTTTTTCTATTTTCAAAAACAGGTGACCACTGACTCGCATTGTGTAAAACACCAAGGACCAAAGATTCAGCTAATAATCCGCTTTAATGTTCTAATGAAGAAGAAAAAAAAGGCAACCTGCTTCATCAATGTCCAGAGGGTGAGTAAATCTACTGTAAATGACCTTTTTTTTACTGTTTCACCCATAGTTTGATCCTCTCTCACTGTCTAACTGAATAAACTGCAGCTCATATATGCTCTCAGGTTGTTTGCACTCTCTAGAACAGGGGTCACCAACCTTTATGAAACTGAGAGCTACTTCTTGGGTACCGATCAATGTGGAGGGCTACCAGTTTGATAAACACTTCTCAAATAACAAATTTCAACAATGATTTAACAGGGTAGGAAATACCCTGTATTTAATGTATCAATGTGCAACACTTAACTTTGATATATCTCTGCAAATATTAACATTTTTAATTGATTACTTCTTTATTAGATGGAGCTTACTGGTAAGTGGCGCTATGGTGAGCTATTTTAGAACAGGCCTGCGGGCAACACATGAGATCCATGTTGGTGACCCCTGCTCTAGAACTTTATTTTTACTTGAGCTATTTTGCTAAGTTTGTTTAGTTTTTCGTTAAAGCCACAATGACCTTACTTTAGTAAGCAACCACACCTATTTAGAGCTCTTCACTAGAAACCCTAGAGCACACTCACAAGGCAAGATTCTGACCTAGATACTGAGCCTCAGTATGATTATTTTTTTGTGGCCAAAAGCAGTGTTTCACAAGCCCAGATATAATGCAGTGCTGAATTGCTTTTAAATTGTGAAATGTTGCTTTACAAAATTATTATCCAGGGTTAAGTTCAGTGTGAAAATCTCTAAATTTAGAATGATTCCTGCTTATTTGGCATTTTTTGCCTCTAGGGTTGACTGTGGAGATGCACCCAAGTTCCCTGCCTTGAGCAGTCTGCTGAGCTCATGATCATTATTGGCAAAAATGACTTGTATTTAAAACAAAAACCTCAGACTTCACATTTTCTCTACTTCTCTGCATGTAACTTCTGCTTTAGCTTGTGTCATTGCCTCTAAAAGTGGGTTCTGCATTTTATTCTCACTTAAATATATAGAATATTGCACTTTTTATTTTTAATGCTTGTCATAAGTGCCAAAATGACATCAGTGGTCTGAAATAGGTCTGCAGTGCTGTTGCATGCTTGATTCTGATTGGCTGATGAAGTTTCTAAGTGGGCAAATATTTACAAGGAAACCGCTAAAGTAGTTCTAGGCAGCTTTTGACTGCATTGCAGTAACACATCACCATGCAGAACAATTTCAGTTATTTCTAATGACTTGTTTTCCCACAGCAGCCAAAAGGCCACAATAAAATAGATCGTTCCAGTCTTTAATTCTGATTGGCAGAGCCACGTTCAAAGCTCTTGTGAAATACTCTAGTCATACACCTTTGGCACTTTCTTGTCACTATTGCTGTTGTGTCTTTTTTACTCTCAACCACAACCGTTTCTGAAGAACTACATCATTTTGCTGAATGTTTACATAAAAATAATAATAATAATAATACATTTCTTTTTGTTTGATTTGTTTTTATTTTGTGGAACAACTGTGATCTGTTTCATGAATAACAACACCCCAAGCTGTTTTAAATTCACTGTAAATTGCAACTTTTTGGTTTATTGATTTATCAAACAACACAAAGAAAGTACAAAAGACAAAATTGTATTACATCTACATTTTACTTTTAGTATTGATACTTACTCATGCCTATTCTCTCTCTCTCTCTCTCTCTCTCTCTCTCTCTCTCTCTCTCTCTCTCTCACACTTTCTAATAACCATTAAATACTGACTTGACTACATTCCATACCAGTGGTTTTCAAACTTAGTCCTGAAGGTCCGGAGTCCTGCAGATTTTAGCTCCAACTTGCCTCAACACACCTGCAAGGATGTTTCTAGAAAGCCTAGTAATGCTGTGGTTACACCTGGGTTTAAGCATGCGAAATTCTGTCATACTGATTGGGGTTGGAGCTAAAATCTGCAGGACACTGCACCTCTAGGACCGAGATTGAGAACCCCTGTTCTATAGGTTTTGCTGTTAGTAGAGGCATTTGCACAGATTAATGCCCCGTTTACACTAGTGCGTTTTAGTTTTAAAATGGCGTTTTAGATAAAAAACGATCCGCGTCCACACTAGCGTTTCAGAACATATCTCCATCCACACTACGCCACCAAAAACGTATAAACGTACATTGGCGCACTCTGGGCATGCACGTTCTAGTATAAACAGGAAGCATGCGTCTCACTCTGCATTTGTTTATTGGTAGTCAACAAACGGCAGTTAAACAATGAACGCCATGGCAAAGAAAGCAAGAGAGGTATTTTTGTGAACAGACGAAGAGGTCGAGTTGTTACTAAACTTAACAAATGAATAACTGCATAATCTTGCCTAAAACAGACAATAGTGCAAACAACGCTCCCATTTCTGTGTCCATGTTGTTGTTTACAGTGAAGGCTGGTCTGCTGTCTTCCGGTAGCGCTAAAGCCGTGTGTTATAGTCATGTGATAGGGGCTCGACGAATAAGGGAAGGATACGCAATGACACAAAAGCCCCAATCAGGTAGCGAATCTCAGCAGCCCCGCCTCCGTTATCAGATGTCTCAGTTTTCCCTCATCCACACTAAGACGGAGTATCAGTGTTTTATAATGAAAATAGGCTCTCCAGGTTTTCCAAAACTATCCGTTTTCAGTGCTCGAAAACTCAGGCGTAGTGTGGACAGATGGCGCAACCGTAGCAAAACGTATGCATTTTCAAACTAAAACACATTAGTGTAAACGGGGCCTAATATTAAAATGTGCATTAGTCTGCTATCAATTGCTTTGCAGGTTATAAAATGAGGTTTTGGAATTGGCCACATGGGTGTTCATCAGGATGCAACAGGGAGGCGTGAACTATTACTTACTTAAAGTGGACCTATAATGCAAAAATCACTTTTATAAGAGGTTGAAACAGAGCTGTGTGGCAACAGTGTGTGAATATGACCAGCCTCTAATGGGCAAATTTCATTGATTTAGATTTTTTATAATTACAATTGATAAAAACTGGTCTGCGAAAACGCTTTGATTAACATGCTTCCTTTGTACATGCTATCAGAAGGGGAAAGCCCTGCCCACTAGTGACCATCTCTCCCTCATTAGCCTAGACAGCCCTGAAAGAGAAGCAGTCGCTCACCAATAGAGATTTAAATCTGCCGCTACGGTGACACAGAGGTGTTTGTAGCTCCGCCCACTTTTGAAAAGATCACAATCTGAATTTAATTAAGTAACTAAATAATGTGAATTTAAAGCGACAGTCACCAAAAACAGCACAATTTGTATCAAAGCCTACAAAAGGGTCAGTTTCAAAAAGTTATAAAACATTTGTGGGATATTTTTGAGCTAAAACTTCACACACTCTTTTACACTTTCTAAAAAGGGGCATAATGCATCCTCTTTAAAAAAGGCCTGCAGAGTGTTTTAACAACTGTATAAAATTAAACTATTTGTAGAATATGAAGGCTGACCTGCTCTGCTTTGCTGGTTATGATCACTAAATGTCCTCCTTTGGTCACACAGTGATCTCGACTTTGTGTCCAGTTCATCTTGACTGTAGAGAAGTAGTAACACTTTCCTCCAGAATGAGTCCAGCGGACAGCACAGAGCGCACAGCCGCTGCTTTCTGTGTAGAAGAGGTTCAGTTAATCTTTTTCACATGCTGTGTCCTAATTCCACTACTTGTACTACGTCTTTTTTTGAGTGTGTAACAGAAGAGTGTGCTAGCTTTAAGGTAGACTACTACTTTCTCGTTAACAGATGTTGCTTAGTTTCTTAGAAGTTAATGTCCAAACACATCTTTATAGATCATGTCATTGGCCCATGAACATTTCCTGCTTGTTATCAAACTATTTCATAACTGTAACAAGAGGCAATTCAATGATAACTTAATGTTAAAACAGCTATCATAACATTATTTATCAATATGTGGCTCTTTCTAGATTCTCGGAAGCTATAGACATTAGAAATGTAAAACAGGAAATACGTTGGGACCATTGTTTTTGTTTACATCCATCAAAATGGTCAATAAAAGTTCACTGTAATTCAAATTAAGGAGGGAAGGACAAGCGATGTACATTCCAATAGTTTAATAAATTAATAAACGAAACAAACAGGAGGCAGCAGTCTCTCACGGTGACTACCGCAGAACTGAAAGCAACATAAACCACAAGCTCCAGGCTCTCATCTTTCTCTGTTGTCACTCCTCCTTTTACACTTCACACAGGTGATGCTCATCAGCACTCGAGTCACTGGCCTTAACATTCCCATGGCTATCTGCCACATTCCCTTCATGATATTCACATTGTTGTCGCAGATAAAATATTAAGCGGAAAATTGGATTTACATATTTTCCTGCAGGCTATATATTAATTAAGAGTCATTCAAACATCTTTACGAAAGCCTCTTTACTTGACGGTTGGTCTCAGGTGGCTGCCATGTTTGTAGTTTGTTAACCGTTTTTACCCATATTTTTTGTTTTAAAGGACACCTATAATGAAAATAATATTTTGGGAGCTGATTGGACAGAACTGTGTGTAAGTATAGTGTCCACAGTCATATTGGGGTCATTGAAACACCGTAAGTCTTTTTAAAATTTCCTGACGTTAAAATTGGATCCAAATCCCTCCCATTTTGAGGCCCAAAATGTGACGTATGAGTGCAGTTTTTCCCGCCCACCAAATTGATTGATATCTGCATATTAACATGACTTCGTAGTAACGCGTATAATCATATCAACAAGCCAGGATGTGCGCCAAGCAACTGGGATTAAAAGATATGTTTAGTGTTCTGTGATCATCAATTATCATCAAATGTGATCAAGAGTGAGTTTTACAAGTTTAAAATGTTTTTAAAATTACAGCAATTTTACCGTCTTTATCAGCACAGCCACATTTTAGTACAATTATAAAAGAAGATGCTTCAATCCCGGTTTGTGGACGTTAAATCAGGTTTATTTTGTACATTAACTTAATGGATATCCGTACAGCAGTGGATATTAACGTGTATCCTGCCACATTTGCACAAACCAGTGCAAAGTTAAACATGTGCAGTGTTTGTGTCCGCTGTGTGTATGTGCGTGAACTTTAACAATATTGTATGTGACTCGTTGTTGCAGATAGGCTTGAATTAACTCCACAACAAATACATAAAATAATCATCGGGAAAAAGTTCTTACTGTTGTGTTTCTCAAAAACGTTACGTGAAATCTGCTGCCTTCATGTCTGTCACTGGCACGCTCTAACAGGCAGGTGGGAACGGTGGGTGGGGACTAGCAATAAAGGCACAGGCTACAAAAACAGCTACAGGGTGTTCAGAGCTGAAAATCCCAATATTCTGAAAGGTCTAATTAATAATCTTATGGGTGTTTTGAGCTGAAACTTTACAGACACATTCTGGAGACACCAGACTTATCTTAAATATTATAAAAGGGGTAAAACAGGTGCACTTTAATCGAATTCACAACACCTTGAAAACACCCTTTCTACTGGAAATAGTTGACGACCTGAGAACCTTTGGCTTTCTCTTTTCAACATACTACCATTTAGGACATACTATTTCTATTTTTGAATACTATTTCGGATGATAGTATGTGTATTGGGATGCAGCAACAGTGTTTTTCCTCTTCTTTTTTTAGCACAAACTGTTTTAGCACTTACGGTTTAATCTGTTCAGCTTTCGAAGTGTCTCCTGATGCTGAATGCGCAGCACATCAAGCTGTTCCATGTAATCTGCATTCAAAACAATACCAAAAATCTCTTATACTGTACTGTATATAGTAAGGGATGGTAGTTTGCAAGTTTTATTCTGTGCACAAAAGCAGAAATAAAAATTATTTTGTGCTTGCACAGTTCACTGACCTGTGACATTGTGTTCCTGATCAGATACAGACACATTGTAATCTAAATGTAGAAAAATCATCAGATGCAGAAAGTGTCAACAGAGTATGTAGCAAAAGTGTAAAGCTTGCATGAAACATGAAGTCAACTGAATTACGTTTTGCATGTGCTAGAAACATGGCCAGGGTGCAGACAGCTCCGAGAGCAACGACAAGACAAACGATGAGAGCGACCAGAAGAACTTTAGTCCGTTGATGATGAGGAATGTCTTTATTGAAGCTTTTTTGACCTGTGATTTAGAAGTCAGATAAAGACTGTAATACTTATCAGGTCAAGTCAAATTAACAATGTTAAAACAGCTTGAACCACGGTGACGGAAAAATACTAGAAAAACTTCTCTGTATCTGAGTCTGTATTTTCTTAGATGAAGTATACTGTATGTGACACTCCTGAGAAAACCTTTGTTATTTTGAGTATTTCAGAAATGTAATGCTTGTGTTTAAAACTATTAATCATTAATATTGTATATTTAATGATTTTTTTAAACGTATGTAAGTATTTGTGCTTCATTATTAGGCTTATGAGTATTCATATTTCAGAATGCAAGAGTAAATGTAAAGTGAAAAAATATATATATATATATATATATATATTAAAACAATTTATTTCTAATGCACCTTTCTTAGATTCAAGGCAGTACAACATAATATCAATCATATATAAACATAATAAAAAAAATTGACCTAAAAAAACAACAATAACTATATAAGTTTAAAGGGATTTTTTTAAAATAATTCCCAATTCAAGAATGAATGCATATGAAGTAAATTAAATCGTATACCAAATTAATAACCACATGGTTTATCAGACATGATCACATTTAAATAATAATAAGAGTTTCATCTTTTTATATTGGTTAATAAATCATCTTACCTTTGTATTGGGAGCATTTGCCACTTGTAGCAATTGTTGCACGTACGATATCAGAGTTTTCATAAACCAGATCCATTTCATTAACAGACAGATTAACAGTCTTACTTCTGAGTCTCCTTGAGTGACAGAGGAAGGAAACCACAGAAAGTCTCTGTCATATTAATGTAGCACAGGAAATAAAGACGTCATTCAATAGCTCAAAAGTCTAAAAATGCTGTATAAAAGCTTATTAATGTTATTAACAGTGGCTTTTGCATAAAGTTTTACCAGTTTTTTCATTATTATTATTAAATTATTATTTTAATCATCACCATTGCTTTGTTTTACCAATTTTTGATTGATTTGTTTTTTCCCACCAAATGGCACATTTGCTTTACAATCAGCCACACTTTTGCCAATCCTTACCCATACCACTTGAACATAAAACATTAATAAATGATTTTTTTTTTTTTTTTGCTGAAGCTAATTTTGACTTTACATAATGCATGCTGTTAAAACCCCTGGGCAATCTAGAGGAGTGGGGTTTCACACTTAATCAAGGATCTGGTTCAAACAAACACTTGTACTCAAAATAACAACCACAAACAAGAATTGCTGTACAAATAATGTGATTTATTACAGGTGGTGATTAGAGACGCAGTGAGTGAGCTATTTACAATCAACAACCAAAACAAAACATAAAAAATTAGAAAGACTGGCTATGGGTGGCATCTTACATCAAATCCCCTCTAATCTAGTCTAATTAACAAAAAATATGAAAATTAAATCTTCAACATCCAAAGACGTCTTGCCTAAAGTAAACTAACTATCCACTTAACCAAAAATACACTAGTTTACGCTCACCCCCTTCCCTAGTGTATCTTTAGACAGTTGAACTTCTGTGTGTTGAAATGTATGTCACGTGACCTACTTACCTACCAGTCTTTCTACCAAACCTCTGTATGGAAACATGAGGAAAGGGAATGAATAATTATACACTGGTAAGAACAGACCAAATTAAACTAAACCAAACCAAAATGACAACAGTCTAAATAAAGGTGAAGACAGACAATATATCGCAACAAAACTGCACAAAATGGGGATATAAACACAGAATCACTAACTCGATCACTTAATGAGCACAGAAACCAATACCAAATCGAGCTATAAAGACTCCAACTGGGGCAGACAGAAGATATATCTATAGGAAGCATACATTTTTATATGCATGTATGTTTTGTCAACAATTGGTTTACGCACAGGTAGTCATAGTAAACTTCAAATCACTTCATATGCATTACTTTTGTTTTTTTTAATAATTTTATCACATTAATCTCTTCCCATTGACCTTGGTGTTGACATTCCTTACATTTTTGAGTGATTTATATAATGATTGCAAAATAATAAATATATTACTAAATTATCAATAATTATCATTATTCATACAAACAGATATTCAGACGAAACTTTAATTCAGCAGCTCAAAAATTAGAAACTTCTTAACCTAACCAGTATATCTTTTTTAAAACACTACATTAGTGACCTCTAGTGGACAACTAGCAGAAATACAATGTGACAGAACCTTTACACTCTTTTAAAGCACAAAAACACCATAATATGTTTGCAGATATTTCAAAAACATGCTAAGTGAACATCCCTGTTTATCTGAAAAACAATGCTGAAGTCAGATATGCCTTTAGTAGAATGTTTTTTCATGTCCTGCCAAATCTAAAAAATGTTTTAAAGGTTTGTGATACAAGTTTACATTTCTTTCAAGAAGTTTTGTTTAGTTTGTATCCATCAGTTAAAATGAGAATTTCTTCATGACTGAATTTTTCTTCCTGTTTCTCTTCCACAAGTAGAATATTAAAATAATTTCACTTGTTTTGATTTTGAGTTCATGTGCATTTCAAGCTATTTATTTTCCCGTTAAACAATTTGAAGGCTTCTGATTGATTATTACATATTATTTACGGAGAGCTTATGACCTAGTAAATACATTCTGCATTAAACACGTGCATGGTAGTTACTAAGGCTATAGTGTGAACTTTATTTTCTAGTTTAAGCAACAAATTACGAAACTACTGGTGCTATCATTCTGCCCACGAAAACAGTTTTTGATATGATATGAGGATATGAGTAAAGCAAATCCAAGACAAAACACAAAAACAGATAAATTTCTGACCAATCACACCAAATGCTCAAAATTCAAAAAAGTTATATTTTGTTCTGTGACGTCTCTCGTGTCAGTATATCACTGATGCAGATTTATTAATATCTCTTCTCACAGATAAACTTTTGATTCATTTTACAAGTTGAATCAAACCATGTATGCAATTCCTCTTTAATGTCTCCCTGACTAACACAGTTCTCTCCAGATGGATCATTCTTTTTCCGGTTATTAGGCTGTGTTGGATTCCCTTTGAACCAGGACCTTTAAAAAAACAAGCAGTGACACAGTTATAATAATATTTTTAAAAAGCCCTATCAGGGTTAGATCATCTCAAGTGCTCCAGTAGAGGTTGCTTGACCTAATGTAGTCTTCAAGATCAGGTTTTAAATCAGTTTATAATAGGGTAGTTTTCAGTGTCAGCCATTAAATCCGTTCAGGAGCAACCATTTAATACATTTCATTTTGTACATATATATTTTTATGAAATTGCACAATTTGTTGGGAGCCACGACATATTGACCATTGATGCTGTGTGGTTAAATCAAATCAAATTACATTTGGTTTTGCAGTGTTAAGACATTGAAATAATAAAATAAAAACTTTTGGAAAATTAAAATGATGAAGCAATCAGAATATAAATGTTTGAATGCCTGTGAAATGGGTAATTACACCATTTAAGAAGACAAATAAAATACAAACAAGCAGAGTTCTTACTGTATTCCAGTTTCATTGAGAGTCTGGTTGTTCACCCAAACCCAACGCCCTTCAGTCTCCAGATCACTAAGTCCAATCCAGTGAGACTCTGTAATTTTAGAGACTAGGAAATCCTGGAGAATATATAGCATTGTTATTTTCTTTATGATAAATGTAAGAATAAAGTGTGATCAAAACTTAAATCTTATCATTTGCAAATCATGTTGTTTGCTATTTCATTATGTTTACATCTGATATGGTCTGACTCGCCTGTTCTGATTGGCTGGTTATGGTGACCAGATCAGCTCCTCTAGAAACACAGGCGTCTCGACTGCTGAACCAGTTCAACTTACTAGTGCTGAAGTAGTACAGCTGTCCACGACAAGCTGTCCAGCCATTCGCAGAGACATTACAAGACTGAGCTGTGAAGAATACGTAAACCTGTGAAACTACAGTAGTTTTACAATGTGTTACAGTCAGTATGTAAACTGAAACTCACCATCATAGTAGGACAGCAAATCTCGAAGTATTTTGTATCTGGATGTAAGATCATGAAATTCTTCCTTCATGGCTGATGAAAAGGCAAGGATGAATATTTGAATTAAAGATAAGGCTATTTTTAGAGCTGTATTAAAAAACAGTAAAACCAAAGCCAACTCACCAACACAAAGCACTAAATGTTCTCTAACGTGCGTGTAATTGTCTTTTAGCTCCTCTAGCTCTCTCATCAGATCTTAAAGACATGAGGAAAACAGGTTATGATGTGAGTTTGTTCAGTGAACTACTGTGAATGAAATGTCTCAAACATGAACTGTACCGTCTCTAAGAGTTTTGCTGTTGAGCTTTTGAGCTGACAGTTGCTCTTTCAGTGAACCAGAATCAGCAAGTGCATTAGTATCTGAATAAAGATGAAACAACAGTTACAGAGGAAAATCTATTTCATTCACACCTAAGACTAAAGTGATCTAAGAATTAAATCTAGAAGTGCTTTGCACTAAATTAATTACACGTGAGCATACGAGATCAACATCAAGGTTTATTTTGCCAGTGATTGCCTACTAAAATAATGTACTCCTCATAACTGTGAATCCTGCTACTCACAAATTATCCACAGAGCGCAGAGACCTCCAAGAGAAATAACAAGTGTGAAACCCAGAACAAACAGAAGAACTTTAGTAATCTTTGAGGTCCTCTTTGAGGAAGTGTCCTCTCTTTCCCGCACACATTCGTTGCTGGTGGATTTTTCTGATATCAGAAATAAAAATATCAGTGCAGCATTTCTGTCTTGAAGTACTTTTTGTCAAAGTTGAGTTATAAACATTTCTACACAATTTGAAAATGTTGGTCTATTAAAAGTTTAATTGTGTCAATTTTAAATTATTCTATCTTAGAAGTTTCAAACTGATTATTTGAAATGAATCTGTATCATAAAACACAATAGTCCATGTAATGTGTATTTGTTTCAAATCCTTGTATAGTAATTGAGACAAAGATCACTTCACAACATCTTGAGCACTCAATTGCTTGCAGAAACTTAAATGGGGAACTTCACATGTTCACTTTTTCATTTATTACATAAAGCAACTTGTATTGCATTCAACATCGCAGTTTTTTTCCCTGAACGTATAAGTTTTGCAAGCATTATTATTTTTTACCCCAAAAAGACAAATTTTAACTAATACAGCAATTTTGACAACATATGATTCCCAGATCATACATGATTAGGTTTAATGTACAGTAATTCTTAGAGCTGCACAATATTGGAACAATCTAACATTGCAAAATATTTTATTCTGCAATATATATTGAGTTATGAATACAATTTCACTAGATGTGTTGAATAACTATTTAGAATGAATTAATCATTTTCCATTGGTTGGGATGATTCTGTAGGAGAGTGCATCTGCATAAAATATAAAAAGCAAATCTACAAACGTAGATACATTTAATAAAGAAAAAGATACCAATTAAATAAACAGCGATTGAATGATATCTAATGAGTCAGACTGTATTTAGGTATACAGTAATTGAATAATCAAATGTAAAATAATGTAATACTGAATAGTCTTCATTTTTATAAACAATTCAATTGTTATTAATTTGTCAGTTACTAATTGTACAATTTCTTATGCCCGAATACTATTGAAACCCTCACACAGTCACAGGCCTCAAAAAACACTTGCAAAATGATTATGAGTGGCTAATATGAGTTGTAATCCAGACTCACCATTGCGTATGTTCGCGATGTGACTATTGCGAATGATCACATTGCTCTATCGATGCAGAAACAAAATATTGTACAACCCTATACCTTGAGTGAATGTAAGCTAATATAGACTAGAGTATCTGGAAAATACATTTGTTCGATTACTATAAATTGTATTCCATCAGTTACTAGGTCATGAAAATGTAAAAGAATGCGTAATGATAACATCTCAGCCTTACCTTTGTTTGGAGAGCATTCTTCACTTGAAGCAACTGTTGATAGGAATATTGCAGAATTTTCATAGATTGACTCCATTTCATGAGTCTGACAGAAGATCTGTTCACTGACACTTGAGTGCTGGTTGAGAATAAGGAAGAAGTCTCATAAAAGCCACTCTTATTAATATAGACAGGAAGTTATCAGTCAGAGTATGTGCCATGTTTAAGCTCATAATATTCTCTGAAATAAGGAATCATGAAAAGGGTTTGTGTTCTCTAGCAACGAAGGATCCCAGTTTAGACACTGTACTTGAACTTCAAAGCTCAGAGACCATCTAATGCATTTATAGACCTAATATTATAGTAAGAAATGGCATGCATCCAACTGAAACAGTCCTGAAATGAGAAAGAAATGTAGGGCAGTGCATGATTTCTTTCATTTGGGAACTGATTTGACTGTTGTAAGATTGATTGAACAGAGGAAAATTCATCAAAATTTATGAATGGATGAAAGCAGGGCAGAAACGAGACCCACCCTGATAGCCTCTCCCAAAAAGTGTTCCATGTGACCAGAAATTAAGAAAAGTCATTTTGTTTCAAGAAGAAGGGTTAGGGGATTAAATAAAAGACTATGAGGGCAACATCATTTATAACAAGCATTACTATATACATATAAAAATAAGGAGAGCAAATTTTGGATTTCATGGCGACTTTAAGCGTCTCAAATTTCACACATTTAGATTTAGCCTTTTTATAAAATAAAACTATTTAATGGCTGATGTTCCAAAGTGGGTGGTTTGGTATTTTGCCCTGACAGTTTTGTAAGTAATCTTTTCCCTGATACTTCTTGTTGTTTTCCAGTACTTCAGTAATGGCTGTTAAAAAAAAAAAAAAAAAAAAAAAAAAAAAATATATATATATATATATATATATATATATATATATATATATATATATATATATATATATATATATACCACTGCATTTCGTTGCATTGTACTTGTACATGTGTAATGACAATAAAGTTGAATCTAATCATGTGACATTTGCAGTAAAAACTCGAAACATAAATTCAAATAGAAAGCATACTTTAATATTATATTGACACATCTGTTTATATTTTATGGGAGTTATGGGATCAGAAAAGTATCACTTTGTAAAAATGTTTATACATTAAATGAGGAAAGTAAACATGCATTATGGATGTGACAAAACAAGTTAACAGAAAACAGCATACTTTGTAGAAATTCTGTCAATTACACTGCACAACCCAAAAGAAACAATAAAAATCAAACAGATATGAGTCGATTAACTATAGAACAAACATGGTTGATTTTATTTGACATTTTTGCATTTATGAGAAAACTGTCATTATGGATGTGACTTTTCCGTTATGGATCTGACAGCTATGAAATTGTCACTTGTGTGATTTTGGCAAATTAAATATAATATTTTGAAACTAACAGAGACATTTTTGAGCATTTTTAAAAATATTTGCTTACAGAAAAAATGTCGAAAAGGTTTCTCTATTTCGGTGAAAACTTATTTTTTTATGGCAAGGTTGACATTTGTATATATATATATATATATATATATATATATATATATATATATATATATATACACATTAATATATACACATAATCAGAATTGTTTAATTCAGGTATAAAACACAGTAGTATTGCTCTGAAACAGCTCAAGTTTTGTTTGCTAAAAGACGTACAGTATGAATTTCTTGTTTGTTGTGCTTTTATATATCCGGATTACATTTTCGATGCGCTGATATTTGACACTGTAGATAGTGTGATATTGCTGAAAAAACATTCAAAATCTTTATAAAACATTATCTTGGATGATTAAAACTTCACACCATTTTCAACCAAGTTTTTGAAAGTCTTTTAGTGTTCAGCTCTTTAAACTTGTCAGCTATTCTCAGAATTGTGATACTTCTGTTTTTACTGCTTACTCTATCTTTTTTTAAGTTTAGATGTGTGACATTCTGTTTCAGACATGCTCTACTGTAACCTTTGGTTGTATTGAATGGCTACTTTTTTTAATTATAGTTGTCTTTCTATCAGCTGAGTTAGTCCTGTGATTCTCCTCTGACTTTTTCTCTCAGAACTGCTGCTCATATTTTTTATTTTTTCAGTCCAATCATGTACTGTAAAACCCTAGGTCAGGGGTGTCAAACTCAATTCCAGGAGGGCCGAAGCCCTGCACAGTTTAGTTCCAACCCTGCTCCAACACACTTACCTGTAGGTTTCAAACAAGCCTGAAGGACTCAATTAGTTTGATCAGGTGTGTTTAATTAGGGTTGGAACTAAACTGTGCAGAGCTGCGATCCTTTTGGAACTAAGTTTGACACCTGTGCCCTAGATGTTGTGCATAAATATCCCAGTAGATCAGCAGTTTTTTTTTTTAAAGCAGGCCAACCACAACCATGACGCATTCAAAACCACTTAATCATTTTAATCATTTAAAGATTTACAAATGAGGAACTTCACACATAATTGCATCATCAGTAAAGACAGGACACATGGATATTAGGGACCTCTAGTGGAGAAAAGAAAAAAGAAGCAGAAAATGACAAAACAGATAAGAATTACATGTTATAAAATGCAAATATTAATTAATTACATTCTATTTCTCACAAAAAAAAAAAAACTGTCACATCGGTAGACTTGAAGGTACACAGTTGTTTAACTATTTGTGTTAATAAAGCTTGCATTAAATTTAAACCGACATAGGAAAGCAAATCTAAAATATTTCTTCTCCTAGAGCAAACTCTTAATAAATTTCATTCATCACAACCACTTATACAGGCAAATATTTCTTTCACAGATAAACCTTTTCTTTTTTTTTTACATGAAGCATCAAGCCAATAGTGAAAGTTTCCATTGCAGTCTCCCAGACTAGCGCAGTTCTCTCCAGACGGATCCTCGTTTCTCCAGTTATCAGTCTCATTCTGCCTATCTCTGAACCAGAACCTTTAACACACAAACAAAGTTAATAACACATTTTCACATAATTCAAATGTGACTCTGGACCACAAACCAGCATACCTGTGTGTCAACCCTCCCAATTTCTGTGGGATTATTCTATATTTTACTTATGTACACCACTATCATCTCTATTTTTCTGTATTTCTCCAGTATTTTTAATCGTTTTCTAAAAGTTGGTGGTAACACCAACACAGAGCTGTAGGGCACAGAGCTGATTCTGCTGTTCAATAGCTGTTCAAGAGAATTATGCTTTTGTTTTATTTAGGTTTAAAAGCACTTTAAAATGAATTAAATGTGCACATGTATCCTCTTACACATCCCAATGTTGACACGTTTGAACCAGTCATAAATGTACTTTTTTTTTTTTTTTTTTTTTAGAAATTGAGAAGTATACATCCTATGAAAGTAAAAAAAAAACACTCTTTCCATTTATGTGTGGTTTGTTAGAATATTTGGCTGAGATGACTATATATGAGTTGGCACATTGGCTCAGTGGTAAGCACTGTCGCCTCACAGCAAGAAGATTCTTGGTTTGATGTCCAGTTGACATATCTGTATGGAGTTTGCATGTTCTCCCCATATTAGCCTGGGTTTCCTCAGGGAGCTCCGGTTTCCCCTACAGTCCAAACATATGCGCTATACTGTAGGTGAATTGAATTAACTAAATTGGCCGTAGCGTATGAGTGTGTGTTTGAATGAGTGTGTGTTTGAATGAGTGTGTGTGGGTGTTTCCCAGTACTGGGTTGTGGCTGGAAGAGCATCCTCTGCGTAAAACATTTGCTGGAGCAATTGGCGGTTTATTCGGCTGTGGCTACCTCTGAGAGTCAGAGGAAAATGAATGAATGAATGACTATTTGAGTATCTGTAAACTTAGATTTAGAAAAATCTAAATACTTAGAAAACTACCAAATTAAGTTTTTAGCAATGCATATTCTTATGATGTTTTGATATTTACTGTCTGAAATGTACAAAATATCTTTATATTTGAATGATTTTTGGCATAAAAGTAAAATCTACTTTTTTTGTCATGCACAATGTATTTTTGACTACTGGAAAAAATTTACCCTTACTGATTCTGTGTTTCAGGGTCACATATTTGGGTATTTATGACAGACAGTTCTTACTGTACTCCAGTTTCAATCAGAGTCTGCTTGTTCACCCAAACCCAACGTCCTTTAGTCTCCAGATCACTGTGACCAATCCAATGGCTTACTTTAATACAAGAAACTTAAAAAAACCTGATGGACAAATATGTAAACAAGTCAGACACTACAAAATGAAGCCAGAAGTACATAATCTACAGCTTTTAATTTTGTGCAACACTGCAATTAGTAACTGTGCGGGAAGCTGTGGTTTTGGTTGTGGTTTATTCCACTTCTTCCTCTTAAGGTTCAAGCGGTTTCAGTGTTTCAGCATGTTGTTTGCTCTATTTTTTTTTATTTCCAACTGCACTCATTATGTATGGATGTGCTGCACATCTAATTTTAATTCTTCAGTAAATTATCTGACTTACCTGTTCTGATTGGCTGATTATGGTGACCAGATCAGCTCCTCTAGAAACACAGGCATCTCTGCTTGACCAGTTCAGTCTATTAGAGCTGAAGAAGTACAGTTTTCCACAACAGGCCATCCAGCCGTTCACAGAGACATTACAAGACTGAGCTTTGAAGAAGGGATTTAATGAGGCAAAATAACCTTACATTACACTCTATAAAATACTGGATCATATTAACCTAGTGTTGGATCAAATATGGACAAACCTAGTAGTTGGGTTAAGAAAAAAAAGTTATAATAAAAAAAAACAACAACAGTAAGTTTTGTTCATATTTTATACAACCCATCATTTCTTAGAGTGCAGTTTTGCTTTTGCTTTTTACCATTTATAAACTCTATTATTTACTCTTTAGTGACTTCAGCCACCAGTGCCCAGTTTGGAAAGTCAAAATGACAAAGATTTCTTTTTGTCAACAGAGTAAAACCTGTAGTGGAAACCTTTGATGTGATCAACAATACAAGTTTGAATGCACCATTAATTTAACCAATTTTTCTTTTTTATTATTCGTTGTCTAGCAGATCATTGTATAGCAGATGTTTAGTAGCACAAATCTGCCACTATTTCCAAGAAAATACTTTGGTTTTGGCAGTGAAACAGCATTTACTTTGCATATTGTGTTGGTGATTCTGGAAATTGGAGACGTTTGGGTTTTATTCACTAACAATTGCAAATGTTTTCCATATTAACATGCACATTTGAACCTTCTATGCTGAAAGAACTATCTGTGCTTTTATTGAATTTGCCATTCAGTAAATCTGCCCACGAACATTTTTATTGGGCCATTTGAAGTTTATGTGCTTTTAAGTAAATGTTTTTGTGAAATATTGTGTACTTGATTAGCACTAAACTGCATAAAAGACAAATCACACAACAGCTCAATTCACATATTTTTAATGCTTTTATTTTGCAGCATAATTTTACCTGAGTATACAGTAGAGGTGTGAACCTACACTAGTCTCACGGTTCGGTTCGGTTACGATTATCATGCCATCAATTCGGTTCAATTCGATATTTCGGTGCATCACGGTGCATTGACGGTGCTTTCCATACACAGTTTTATATTTTCTTCACAGCAGCATTTCTTGTATTAAAATGTATGAATATATTTATATTTATATACTATTTGTAATACAATTTTGTCATTTAATGCAAACAGTCAGATATATAAACTGTAACTTTAAACAAAACGAGCATTTAGCAAATAATATAAACAAATATTAATATCCAGCTCAATTTCTGATCCTTGTCTAGTTCTCTTACACCTCTTTAATTGGTCACACCCTAAAAAAAACCCGGTTGCGATAGGCTCTTGCGCGCTGCGTTCTTCACAGATGAGTGATGCTGATAAGCGGCAGGCGGCAGCGGCGATCTCACAGCTGATGTATGATAGACACGGTGGAGAAAACTCTGCAGACACGCACTGTGTTTGTGTGAGAAAGAAAGAGAGAGAGAGAGACAGAGACAGAGACAGAGCGCGCTTGAGAGAGAGAAATGGAGTAGGCTACTTTCATCTCTCGATCTCAGTGAAATAGGGGCTTTTGTTGTATATGTCAGTGAAAGACTGATCCAGCAAACACACACAGTGAAATTGTGGACAGTTTATGAGTTTTAAGTAGTTAAAGCGCTGTAAATACTCGCGATCGCCTCCCTCGCGACAGAGCGCATATGAGGTAAATGACGTCAGTAATAACCGGTTATGATTATTACTGAACCGATACCGAACTGTCCGCGTCTGCATCGCAGTGCACCGAAAAAACGATTATTTTTGACACCCCTAATATACAGTCTCTGTAATGCTTCATGAAGCACAGTCTCAAAATATAAGCCATTCAGTTCATTTAATAAGCTTTGTGAAAATTACTTTGTTTATAAGCCGTGATACTAATAACAGAAGTGTATTTTGACAGCAGGATTGGATCAAACAGCTGCTGCAGCTTCACACACAAATCTTTTCTCTTCAAAACAGTAAGCATCAGTCCAGAAATCTGTCTCTCCGTCTGGGTGACCCAGACTAGCGCAGTCTTCACCGTCCACATGCTGTTTAGTCCAGTTATCAGGCTCACTGACCCCATTCTCTCGCTTCATCCAGAATCTGCAGAAAGATTGCATATGTTTGGCAACAATCTGGAATTTTCCAAGATTCATTTTAATAATGTATGAAAGCCAACAATACATGACAACCCAAGCTCATTCTGAAAACGTAGTCCCGCGGACGTTTCTGGAGACATCGGAATACGTCCCGGGAGGTACGTACTGCTGCATTTATTTTTTTTCAAGCGAACGCTGCGGGGCAGTGTGACGCTGTTCCCTTTCGCGCTCGAGTCTCGAGACGCAGAGAGGAGAAGTTGACCACAGCGATCGGTTTCGAGTCCGGGGGAGAGCAGTTCCAGCAATGAGGTAAGACAAAAACAAAATCCCAAAAATTAAGTGAACGAGTTTCATAACAGGGCGAGAACGCGGTGAAATCCGAAAACGTGGTAGATAAAAAAATCAGGGCTTTTCTTTTTTTGGACGGCTTTTGTAAACTGTTGCCTGGGTTTAGGGAAGTTAGCGGGCGGGCGGGTCAATCAGTAAAATTGGTTGGGTTCAGGGAAAGAGGAGGGCGGTCAGCCGATTGGCTGGTCGCGCAGTCAATTATCCGGTCAGTCGGACAGCGGCCTCTGGCGAGTTGACGCGAGAACAGCGCGGGCGCGAACCGCACTCGCAAGAGACGTTCAAGATGAGAAAAAGCACACAACAGCGGCCTCTCGCGGATTCGCAAAAACAAAAACTGCAGCCGTACGTACCCGCCGGGACGTATTCCGCGGTCTCCAGAAACGTCCACGGGACTACGTTTCCACAATGAGCCCGGGTTGATACATGAAGATCTTACTCTTCTGTTTGGCTCAGTGGCTGGTTGTCCACCCAAAGCCAGCGTCCCTCAGTGTCCAAATCATTAAGACCAATCCAGTGAGTCTCTTTAACATTAGAGGTTAGAAACTCCTGATGGAGAAAAGAAATGCACTGTGTAGGATTAGGGATGTGGAATAAATCCATACTTTAAACGTTATACCTACTAATAAACAGTTAATATCTTAATAATAGGCAGGTAATAAGCCAGTCAGTAGCATGAATTGTGACTTAAACTAAAGTGCCATCTTTGATGTTTCTGATTTCTAAAGAATAAATCTAAAGAATCTTTTTTTCTTTGCTTAGTTCACTCAGAAATTATAAAAGGTCAAAAATATGAAGTGTTGACCTGCTCTGCTTGGCTGGTTATGATCACTAAATGTCCTCCTTTGGTCACACAGTGATCTCGACTCTGTGTCCAGTTCATCTTGACTGTAGAGAAGTAGTAACACTTTTCTCCAGAATGAGTCCAGTGAATGGCACAGATCGCACAGCCGCTGCTTTCTGTGTAGAAGAGGTTCAGTCATTCTTTATTCCTGGTAGTTGTGCTTCTTGAAGATACTTTACTCAAGTTTAAAGACTTACGATTAAATCTGCTCAGCTTTCTAACCGTCTCTGTGTGACAGTAAAAGCAGCAACACATGAGGAGGAAATTAAAATGATTCATGATTTAGAAAAACTTTCAATTCTTGATAGATGATCAGCTCACCTTCAGAAATGGACAGTTGTTCTTTAACTCGGCTGTAGTTTGCTGTCAGCTCTTTCATCAGCACTTTACAGAGACAGTTATAAAAATGAAGGAGATATACATTAAATCAATATACTTAGATTTAATCAAAATGGGTTTAAGCTGAAAGTACAGCTCACATTCATTAATGTGGAGATGATCTCTAACTGTGGTAAAGTTGGCTGTAAGTTTGTCAAGCTGTCTGGACATGACTGGTAAAAAACGACACCAACAAAAAAAAGATTCTTAAATGATTATAGTAAATTATAAGAACACTTATAAACAAAAATAAGTATAAATAAGATTTTGGCATGGTGGCACAGTGGTTAGCACTGTTGCCTCACAGCTGGTTCGAGTCAGTGGTCATTTCTGTGTGGAGTTTGCATGTTCTCCCTGTGTTGGCGTGCTTTTTTCCCGGCTGATCTGGTTTCCCCCACAGTCCAAACACATGCGCTATAGGTGAATTGAGTAAACTAAATTGGGCGTAGTGTATGAGTGTGTGTGAATGTCAGAGTGTATGGGTGTTTGCCAGTACTGGGTTGCAGCTGGAAGGGCATCCGCTGTGTAAAACATATGCTGGGTAAGTTTGTGGTTAATTCGGCCTGTGGCGACCCTGATAAACAGGAGACTAAGCTGAAGGAAAATAAATGTATGAATGAAGATTTTGGTCAACATTTTATTTTATATATTTTAGAATGTTGGTGGATCTCACAACATCTCTGTAACTAAAATACATTATTTGCAATTCACAAAATAAAAATAGGGATGCAAATTTGAGCAGATAAAAATGGTGCACACGACAGAAGCTCCTGTATAGAAACACCAAATATGAGAAGTGTCTCCCCCTTGGGGTACTTCAGTGCATACACACTTACAGTATGTTGGGTGCATTAAATAGGGTTTACTCACTTGTGCCATTAGTTTCCTGGGCAGACAACTGCGCTGAAACACTGACATCTGATTAAAGCCAAAACACAATCAGTGGCAGTAATAGTGATATCACATACACGTTGTTACTTTTTTTATTTGGAATGACTAATACTATTTATAGATGCAACACCGTATATCCATATAATCACAAAGATGTATGTTTCACAGTTCAAGCAATGTGTAATAAAATACAATCACTGAATATCTTTTACAGGGCAATATTAAAACACTCAGATCACCTCTGCACAAAGGAGCAAATAAATAAATACATAAGGGAATATCTGCAAATTAAAGACAGAGATGACATTGTCTTCTCTAAACATGCAGACTGCCTATTATTGCAGACACAGCACACACACACACATACCTTTATAGAGAGTTCCCATAGATGTAATGATTTTTTTCTACTGTACATATTCTCCCCCTACCCAAACCCTACTCCTAAACTAACCCTAACAAGAAATAATCTGCAGTTTTAGTGATTTATTAGATGTTTTCCTCATGGAACAAAAAAAATGTATTGCTATACTTGTAGGGACATTTGGTACCCATGAGGAATACATATACACATTAGGAATACAAGGTATACACAAACACACACACTAGTTATACTCACACTGTATCCTTACAGCACAGAGACCTCCAAGAGCAAAAACCAGAGACACAGCAAAAACAATCAGCAGAACTTTTGTCCACTTTGCAGTATTGACTTCTCTTTTACTTTCTCGGTAATTGCTGAAGTGACCTGCGGTTAGAAATTTGATGAGATAAAGCAAAAAACTTCTCTGAATCTTTAAATAGCCGTATCATTTCTATCTGGAACTTGTCTTGCAAAAAATAATTAAATAAATAAATGTGTATATATAAAGTCAAGTGCAAAATAAATCATAGCCATGGAAAATTTAGACCTAAAGTTACTTTTATTCAACCAGTGAGTTTTATTTTGACCAAAAATGACACAAATTCTCTCAAAAAGACCATTTACAAGAGGCATCATTGTGCAAAAAATATTTCTTTGCATTTATTTACATTTTGAACAAAAAGTGGCATGTCTAAAATAATTCATACTCTTAGTAAACTTTCACAGTCAATGGAAAAATCTAAAGTTGCATGACATTTCAAATAGTCCAAGCTGTTCTAAAGCATCTTAATTACCCTGAATAATTTAGAACTGCTGTTTTGATTAACTTAACAGAAGCTCTCTGCAGTTGGTTGGTGAATAGTCATGGCTAAGACAAAGGATCTCAGGGATTTTATATATTTAATCAATTAAACTGCAGTTAACTCAACTCAACTCACTTTATTTCTATAGCACTTTCACAAAAAACAATGGATTACCAAAGTGCTGTACATAAAATCAAATAAAAAAGCATGTAAAATATACATAAAACCAAAATACATAAACTCATATCACATGATTAAAAGCTAAAGAAAATAAGTGTGTTTTCAGTGACCTCTGAAAAGACTCGAAAGTTTGAGCTGTTCTTACAGAGAGTGGGAGATCGTTCCAGAGTCTTGGAGCTGCTACTGAGAAAGCTCTATCACCTCGACATTTTAAGCGTGATCTAGGAACTTGCAAATAGAGACGATCCATAGAGCGAAGAGATCTCACAGGTTGGTGCATAATAATTAGCTCAGAGATATACAGATAATTAAACTGCAGTTAAGTATACTGAAAGAGACAGAAACACTTTCATGGCTGTTTTTAAAACAGTTTTTTTAGTTTTTAATAGCATTCAATTTTGATATTTAAGGACAGTTTAAATTGTATACTTTTCCTACAAGTGTTGATATTCTAAAGCACATTTAGCATGTAAAAACGTTCTTTCAACTATTTTTCTTGTACAGTGATTCCTCGGAAAAACACGGTTCACTTTTCATAGCCTTGCATTGTCACAGATGTTTTGTGTGTGTAATTTAATATGCTTTTTATCTACAATGCATTGTGTTCTGCATCCTGATTAGCACATTGTGTTCTGTATCCTGACTGGCTGTGGACCATTGTCAATCAATCTCTTCTGTGCCATGTCTCCTGTACAGTACAGAATGCGTTCAGCTTGCCAAACTCTGTGACTCTGAAGCGATGCACTGTATGTTTGCAAGTTTTGTCCACACAATGTCGATGAAACGTTCCACACTGTCAAAGGCACCTACGGTAGCACTCAGTAGGCAGAGGAATATGATAACCACCGCACAAAAAGTTGAACTTTTAGACATGCAAAAGGAAAGTTTGATCTTTGAGAGTGTACTGTACTCTATTTTAAATTGAATAAAACTACAACCTCATTATCACTAATGTATAGATTAAAAGAGACATATTAAATACACATCATTCACATATAAGGTATGAAAGATATTATTTTACCATAATGTGTATTAGTACATTCAGCAGTACTTCAAAAAATTAAAGAATTATGAGATTAGATATTAATATACTCAAATGACTGAATAAGCATTTGTAATAATAACACAATTAAAATGGTAAATAACACAATTTTGTGCCTACATTACATTTACACATAAATATATTAATTCTGTATAAATACTCTTTTTAAATGCAATCTGAGAATACATTTTAAAGCTTCAGCTTTTTAAAATATTTGTTTGACACTTGCCTGAATGTTTACACAACTATTGTTAATCAAAAGATAACAGAAAATATACTGAAAAATATATTCAAATGACTCTAACTTACTAAAATATATATATATATATGTGTTCTTCGCAGCATCTTTAGAATTATATTTATAATAAACTAACTTGAAACAAATTTATATTCATTTGTATGATACTGATTGCAGTGTACACCAATAGAAATGAATGCGTACTGGTACCATTCCAGTCTTACCTTTGTACTGGGAGTCATTTTCATCAGAATTACCTGTTGAAAAGGCGAACACAGAATTTTCATAGACAGAACCCATTTCTGTGAACTTGAGACTTTGCTGAGATTTGAGCGCTTGTTGAGGTTGTTGAGGAAAAAGGAAGTCTTATTAAGGGTCATTTTTATTGACAGGAAGGAATGAAGTTGACTCAGTATACATCCCTTATATTTGGGACCTGCCTTATACATTTGAGATTAAAAAAACGGTTGCAACAGCATTATGACCTAATCACTAAATGTTTTTTTTTCCTGCTGTATGGCTGATCTGTAGATTTTTCTCTGAAAGTTTCACCAAATATTTCTATTGTTGTCATTTCCTATTCATTTTTCAATGGTCATTTTTGATTGCAAAGACCCTTATTAGCCAGCGTCAGGACGTGGACACACTGGAGTGCTGTTTTTGCATATTTCAGTGATTACGAATAGATTACATCAGAAAGAACATGAGCAATCTTGACCAACTATACATCTGTCTAAAGCTACAACCCTCAGGCATTGTAGATAGTTGTTATTTAATGGGAAGCTTATAAAGAATATTTGCTAAATTTGTGCAAGTTGTACAGAACACGCGTATTAGATATTGAGTAAATACCATTGTAATAACAAGACACAAGGTTTCATTGCATTGACCACATTTTATTTTCATATTAGAATCTTTAATTTTTTTTTTTGCTTAAAGGGGACCTATTATGATGTAACATAAGGGAATACTCACACTATGCTATCCAAACTGTGCCCAGGCCTGTTTCCTGGATCGTTTGAGAAGTGCGAGTGCTCTGAATTAGGCCCAGGTATGGTTCAGTTGGCCAGCCCTGGTCTGGTTGGAAGGGGTGTGCCAGAGCGGGGTTCACTTGGGCTTTGACGTGGTACACTTGTAGTGTGAGTGCAAAGCATGCTTGAGTGAAACTGAAGATGAGACGTGACTTTTAAGGGACTGTTTGATATGGATTTATTAATCAAAAAAAAGACGCAAACCCCTCACTGCACAACAGCTGTACCTTCAGCAAACCTCCTAATTCCTGAAGCATGAGGACTTTATGATGAGCGTCAAAAGTGGCAGATCTGTTTGGCGAAATATTTGACTGTGTGTCACTGCTACCCAAAAGACTAAAACAATATAACTAGCGAAATCTCCACTGGGCTGAGCGAGAGCGCCTTCTGAACAGCGCATCATCGATGACATAAGCATGCCCAGGCCCGAATTTAATGTGAATGCGGGCCATGGGGTGAGACGGGTGGAGAGACATGCGTGCTTCAGCCGGTTCAAGACAACTGTACGTAGTGTGAGTACACCCTAAGTCTGTGATGTCCGTACAGTGTGTTTTTGAAGTTTAGGCTCAAAATAGCCCACAAATAATGTTTAAAACTCTTTGAAACTGCCCCTTTTAGACTTTGATCATAATTGTGCTGTTTTGGTGACTGTTGCTTTAAATTCAAATGAGATTGTGCTCTTTTCAAAACAGGGCAGAGCTACAAATGCCTATGTCTCAGCATAGTGGCAGATTCAAAACAGGGCTAACGTCCATTTCTAATGAGAGAGAGATTGTCACTTATGGGTGGGACTTTCCTCTTTTTTCACACTATGAATGAATTCTGACATTAAACTCCACACTGCTATTATTTTGAACACCCTAGTTTTAATGCATTAGTCAGTTACTCAGTCAGCACACATAAAACAACAGTTTGATCTGTCGTTTTTTCTGTTACGCTACTGGATTCACAGTCACAAACACAAATATATAACACAAACGCCCACAGACACATGCACATTCATCCAGCCAAAAGAGAAACATGCTTAAAAAAAGTAGATTTTATTTTGCTAATTATTTCTGTAGATAAAATTAAATCATTATAATGAATGAGTACATGAAAACTGCATGGCATTGAAAAAGGTTGCAAAGTAGCATGCTTGTCAGACAAATTTGTGGGGATTTACAAAGTTAACCATGATTCTGCACAAAAAAGGTGACCAGTCAGACCTTATCAGCTGCATCCTCTCCTGTGAAACTCTAAAACTGATGTTATGGTCTTCTAACACTCAAACATTTTTATTTTCCTATAGCTCAAAAGATTTAGTTTTAATAGAAACATTTGCACACACACACACACACACACACACACACACACACACACACACACACACACACACACACACACAAAATAATCATTTGCACAATGCAATAGTCTTTAGTGGGTTGTTAGGCATTACAATTTCAAATGTTAAGCATAAAGAAAATGTGGTACGACCTTCTGATCGGCAAAAGTTTGAGACAAATGTCAGCGTGCAATAACGTGAAAAAGAGTCTTCTGTGCTTTTTAAACATTTTTATGTGAAACTTTTAATCGGATTTCCACTCGTCCACAGGTGATTATATGGACTTCACAAAGACAAAGATCCAAAAGCGCATGTTTTACATGTCTGTTCTTCAAATATTACATGTGATTTTATCACTCGAAGCTTGTGGTTTTTCTGCAAGGGAAAACTATTCTGTAATAACATTTTAATTAATGGCCGCAGCGGCTTCACACACAAATCTTTTCGTTGCAGTACACAGATCATCGTTCCAGAATTCAGTTGCTCCCAAAGAGTGACCCAGGCAAGCGCAGTCCTCTCCACCGGGATGATTTTTAGTCCAGTTATCAGGTTCATTGTTCCCATTCACTCGTTTCATCCAGAATCTTTTAAAAATATATATTTGTCAGTAGCAGCCTGATAGTCGCCTTTATAGAGTTACAGTATGTTTATTATCAAGATTAATGAAGATCTTACTCTACTGATTTATTAAGTGGCTGGTTGTCCACCCAAACCCAGCGTCCCTCTGTGTGCATATCATTAAGACCAATCCAGTGGGTTACTGAAATTTTAGAGGCAAGGAAATCCTGATGGAGAAAAAAAAAGTTTAGTTTTTCTTTGATGCATATAATATTCTGAGCAGAAAAGTGTAAATAAATAATTAATCTCTCAAACATTTCATTAAAAATTAAGGACATGCTTAGCTGCTATTTTGTATTTTTTTTTTCACATTTGTGAACAAAATATATTTGTTCCCTGCAAATACTTTTTTCTTGCTTTTCTCTTCTTTTGGTTGTTTTGCTGTATATCAGTCAAGTCATCTCTAGTTAAAGCCACTTTAAAATGATGAACAGGAAAATGATTAAAGATGATTAAGCAGGCGGCAGAATATTGGTAGAACGCTTGTGTATTTTCAGTTTGTGCAAAAGCGATTCAGCTCAATATGTGTGTAATGTTGTAGGATGATCAACTAAAGAGCAGTTCCACTGACCCCAATGCAACCAAAACTCAACCATCAGTGAAGCTTGAGAGGGAAAAAATTTGGTGTTAGAAAGAATATATGAAGTGTTGACCTGCTCTGCTTTGCTGGTTATGATCACCAAATGTCCTCCTTTGGTCACACAGTGATCTCGACTCTGTGTCCAGTTCATCTTGACTGTAGAGAAGTAGTAACACTTTCCTCCAGAATGAGTCCAGTGAACTGCACAGAGTGCACAGCCGCTGCTTTCTGTGTAAAGAAGTTCAGTTATTTTATATTACACATGCCGTATCCCAATTTGCCTACTTGTACTACATCCTAAAAGTGTGAAGAAAATGTACATACATTTGAGTGTGTAACAGAACAGTGTGCCAGCTTTTGGTATAGACCTCATTTACAGACTCTTATGTTGCTTAGTTTACCTCCACACAGGGAAAGCTCATTCTCCTACAATCCCTTGTTCACCCACTTTCCCCTTCACCCAACTCACACAGAGTAGGTCATCTCAAACTATGAATGTTCTGTATCATATATATATATAACACATACACACACACACAGTGTAATATAAATATATATATATATATATATATATATATATATATATATATATATATATATATATATATGTATATGTGTGTGTATGTGTGTGTGTGTATATATATATATATATATATATATGTGTGTGTGTGTGTGTGTGTGTGTATATATATATATGTGTGTGTGTGTAAATATATATATGTGTGTGTGTGTAAATATATATATATATATATATATATATATATATATATATATATATATATATATATTTATAGCTACTAGCCTGACAGTGCAAATGCGACATGATTTCTGCCACACTGCTTATGCCCGACAATGGAAATGTGGCTATTGTTGACATGAAAGGCCAAACACGCAGTGAACCTTCATCCACCAGTAGACACCCTCATTGGGCCAACTGGGTACAGGGGCATAATAATTCTATTTTCGAATACTATTTAGGCCTGATAGTATGTGAATTGGGACGCTGCAGCAATGTGTTCTCTCTCCTTATTTTAGCACACTGTTTTAGCACTTACCGTTTAATCTGTTCAGCTTTTGAAGCATCTCCTGATGCTGAATGTGCAGCACATCAAGCTGTTCCTTGTAATCTGCATGCAAAAAAAATAAATAAATAGAAATGCATATATAGTATTTCCCACAGATGGCTTGCGGCTGGAAGGGCGTAAAAACCTGCTGGATAAGTTGGCAGTTCATTCCGCTGTGGCGACCCCGGATTAATAAAGGGATTAAGTCGACAAGAAAATGAATGAATGAATGCATATATAGTAAGTGATCAAGTTTTTCACAAGTTTTATTCTGTGCACAAAAGCAGAAATGAAATCACTTCGTGGTTGCTTTTTTTACTGACCTGTGGCATTGTGTTCTTGATCAGACACAGACACATTGAAATCTGAATCTAGAAAAAGCACCAGATACAAAATTAATCCACAGAATATGTAGGCAAAAGTGTAAAGCTTGCATTGAGGCTTGAGTTCAGGAGTAAACTGAATTACGTGTTTCTGTGCGTGCCATAAACACGGCCAGGGTGCAGACAGCTCCGAGAGCAAATAAAAGACACACAGTGAGAGCAATCAAAAGAACTTTAGTCCATCGATGATGATCTTTATTGAAGGTTTTTTGACCTGTGATTAGAAGTCAGATAAAGACTCTAATAATTATCAGGTCAAGTCAAATAAACATTTAGTTAAAACAGTAATGAGTCAAGGAAAGGTTTAGTCTCAACTAAGCCATATTTATGCTTCCTTTGATAAAGTAAATGTGTCTTTGTGTGACACTGTTTTGTTGTGTTGAATTTTTCCTGACCTATTATATTTGTATGCATTTATTATCAACTAACACTTATTTGACATATTATCAGGGAATTTTTTCTCATTTAATTTAAATCTATGAATAAATTGTATTGGGTGACACGGTGGTGCAGTGGTTAAAACTGTGGCCTCACAGCAAGAAGGTCGCTGGTGTGAGTCCCGGCTGGGTCAGTCGGCGTTTCTGTGTGGAGTTTGCATGTTTTCCCTGCGTTCGTGTGGGTTTGAATTGATAAAATTGTATGTAGTTAATAATGTAAACCAAACACAAGACTCAACGTGAAGTAAATATAATGCAGTAATAGACACATGTGGTTTATCAGATTTTGAAGTTTGCAAAATTACTATCTTTTTCAGTTTGAGTATTACAAATGTATGCCTCAAATCAAATTAATATATTTATTTCATCATCTACATCTCATTAACAGTTTTTACATAAATATAAAACAGTGAATTTTGATAGAATAGGTGTCTATTAAAATACAAACTACAGCTTATTTACAGTACAACAGACTGGCCACAGACAGAATATGTTTTCACAAAATATGGATATAGAAATTATTTATTCTGCAACAACAATCATCAGTAAATTGATCCCTTATAGGATGTTAGTTCTTTTTTTAAATAAGAGTTTCATCTTTTAATTTTGTTAATAAATATTCTTACCTTTGTCATGTGAGCTTTTGTCACTTGAAGCAGTTGCTGAACATACAAAATCAGAATTGACATAAACCAGATCCATTTTATTAGCCTGACGGATATCTTACTTCTGAGTCTCCAAGTGACTGATCGTAAGGAAACCACAACAAATATATCTATGAAATTAGCACAGGAAGTACTAATGTCACACAGTAGCATAGTAAACTACATATAAAAGCTATGTCAATTAATATGATATTCCCAGAGGGCAAAATTCAGAATGATCAATTCACAAGTGCACGTTCCATTGTTTGTTCACTTTAATATACCAGTATTTTTATTCTGACACAAGTTTGATCCTCATACATTTTTTTCTTTTTATCATACATCACATTTGACACCAAAGGGTTTAATTTATGTTTGATTGAAAAATATCACATTAAATGTATTATTTTATATTATCTAAATGAACTGCAATTGGAATTTAACTTCATAAATCTGACATTTAGACCTGCTATTTTTGCAATGCACTGCAGTTTTATACATGATGCTGAAGCACTTTATTAAAATCAGTAAAAGTGTGAAGCATCAAAGTAAATCTTTTTTTAAAAAACAGTATATTTCACAAAAACAATCTTATAATTGCCAAAAAAATAAAAAATGCTTTTACATTCACACGAGATGGTTATTTATGCAATAATGGAAATATGTATAAGTCAAGTTATGGCTGGAGCTCAATAGATATCATATTTAGATATCAAAAAACAATTATATCATATAAATATCATATTGTATTTTTACCCATGCAGGTTGTACTGACAAACGTTCAGACTAAACATTTCAAACTTGCCAAAATGTTCATGCAATTCAGCAGTTCAGAAATGAGGAGCTTCAAGAGATAAAATGACTATGGGAGTCAGTGGCTACCAGCAAGAAATAAACCTAGTTATTTTAGTAGTAATCATGACATAAATTAAATTATTAAATTCAATTAGCATTACTCTAGGGAACTGTTATACTGTATCACAAAAATCAACATTTCTGAACAACATTGCATGCTGCTGTCAGTGGTGTAAAGTAACAAATTACAAATACTCAAATCACTGTAATGAGCAGTTTTCTTCAGAAATTGTAATTTGCTAAGTCATTTTAAAAATGTGCTTTTACGTTCCCTTGAGTGCATTTTTAGTGCAGTATTGGTGCTTTTACTCCTCTACTTTCCTTCAACCTGCAGTCACTACTTTATTTTTTGTTGTTTAATTCCTGGCGCTTAACCCTTTAACTGCCTGCTCTACCAAATGGTTGACCATATTTTGACTGTTTGTAATAATGGTTTAAACTACACAGCATTGTTGGTTTACAAAAAAATCTAACAAACATAATCCTGTTGCACGACTTGATTTTGCTTTTATTGTTACAACAACAACAACAACAACAACAACAACAACAACAACAAAGCATGTTAAATGAAAATTTGAAATATTTTATGGCATACTTTGAAAAATAAAGATGATTTAGTATTCAAAAATGTTTTATTTTGATTATTTTACACTTCATATTTTTCATAGAATATGTATTAATTCCGGTAATTTTACCATAAACCGACATATCTACCAATTAGTAGAGGTTGATATTTTATAAATTATGGGATGTGTTGGAAAAGAAAATGCATTTAGTGTGTTAACTAGCGACATTAGGAGTTAAGAAATGCGGCAAAATTAAAAATTAAAGTGTCTAAGAAGAAGGCCAAAATCTTTACATATAATGGCCCAAAGACTGTTTACACTGATGAAAAGATGAAGCATGCCTACTGTTATGATGACTGGAATTACAATGAGTCTTAAACAATAACTAAATGCACTACAGAATATTACGTTTACACACACACACACACACACACACACACACACACACACACACACACACACACACACACACACACACACACACACATACACACACACACACACAACAAGTACAAATTGGATGTAAACACATCAGCTTTTCACAGTGTGATACTAGCTACTCACTACTCTTGAGGGTAAAAGGGCTACTTTTACACTACTTGCACTGTATTTGTGGGTAAGTAATGGTACTTTTACTTGAGTATGATTTTTCACTAATCTTTTCACCACCATGGTTCTGTTTAGCTCTGGAGATTAAAGCCTGTTCAATACTGAAGGACAGGGAGATCAAACAAGTGGAGAAAATTATAGTAAGATAATGAATACAATCTATTCATTATTTATTATGGCATTAATAATGAAGCATGAACTGAGTCAGACATCACACTTAATTTGAGTGTTAAGTTCTTTCACACTCTTTGACTTGCAAACATATTGGTGTGTTGCTCTAGAGATCTTATATCCTGTGCTCTTCTCAGAACTTGAGTTGATTTTATGATTTACAGTACCTTTCTAAAATTAATCACCATGAAGTTTATCATTAACTTTTTGATTTTACTTTTTGATTTTTTTTTTATTTCTAAATATGTTCTTAATCAAATCCTCTCAATCAAACTGATTTAATCAGTTAAAAAATAAGAATATTGAATAAATTTATCTACTAAAAAAGCCAGATGCAAAAAGTTCAATTCTATGAGATTGGTTCACTTAATATTCAATTCAATTCAATTCAATTCAATTCAGCTTTATTTGTATAGCGCTTTTACAATGTAGATTGTGTCAAAGCAGCTTCACATAAATGGTCATAGTAACTGGAACAGTGTGGTTCAGTAACTGGAACAGTGTGGTTAAGGTTTTAGTGTTTAAGTTCAGTTCAGTTCAGTTTAGCTCAGTTCAGTGTGATTTAATCATTACTGAGAGTTCAAACACTGAAGAGCCAATTCATCGATGCGTAGCTCTACCAATCCTGAACCATGCGAGGCAGTGGCGACAGCGGAGAGGGAAAAAAAACTTCACCTGATGGGAGTGAAGAAAAAAAACCTTGAGAGAACCAGACTTAGTTGTGCACGACCATTTTAATTTCTCCGCTGGCCAAAAGTCTTGTGCAGAACTTCATTCGCCGTGGTTTATGCTGGAAGTATACTCTCTGGGGAAATATTGATGCAGCTCCAAACTCCTTACAAATATCAATCACATTAGGTTAAATAGTTTAATTATGTTAAAAGTGTGTAATCTAAATGGATGGACATTTTAAATCTCATTTGTTAGGCCTAAATTTGTTTTTGAGTGTATCATTTTCATGATTTCTTGTTAGTTGCTGTGTTTGCCTAAAGAAATCATATTGAGATGTGTAAAGCACTTGCAGATGTGCTAAAACACTATACAGTACAGTAGATGTTTGTGGTTTGGCGGATCAACAGTTACACCCTACAGCTAATGTTTAATGCATAAGCTAATTTTGCACTTTTCTTTTGGGGTGACCTAAAAATGGTCTAACTAATTTTAATGATCAGATGTAGATAAAATTATCTACTTTTGGTGATCCCAGCAAGTAATGATGATCGCACATTATTTGCCTAAACATTATTTCAAAATTATTGAGAAAATTTTAGTAATAAGAGTTTCTAATTTTTATTATAGGCTGTGCCCTCCTACCAAATTTCATTCCAGATATTTTGTATAGGTTCTTGTAAAGCAAAAAAATGTTACTTTACATTTTTCCCCAATACGATTTAAGGAATTGGTCATCTAAAAATAAAAATCCACCACTTCTTTGAAAGAAAGAATTGCATTTTAAAATTTGATTCAGTTCCAAAACATTTTTATTTTCTTGATAATGTCCAACATAAAATAATTACATTTCCTTCAAATAAAACAGGTCTTTTCTGTTGTTTTATATAAACTATAATTTATTATATAATAATAATAATAAAATAAAGAACGAATACACTACAAAAGTCATGTAACTTGACTTCTAGTTGATCATTTGGAAAAGTGGCAGAAGGTAGATTTTTCTGTTGAACTGCATCCGAATCATCACAAATATTGCAGAAGGTCTATTGCAACCCACATGGACCCAAGATTCTCACAGAAAGAGGTCAAGTTTGGTGAAGAAAAAGTCATGGTTTGGGGTTACATTTCAGTATGGGGGCGTGCGAGAGATGGATGCAGAGTGGATGGTTGGCTTGCCACGATAGACGCCGTCCCCACATTTTTTTTTTAAGTATTAGTTTTTTTAATAAATATTTATTTGAATTAAATAGAAAATATAATTCTAAATAATTTACTTAAGACGAGAGCATGGACTAATTAAAATCTGAACATAGCTACAATGCGTCATATTTCATTTATCACATGAGGAGAACAAGGGGAGTCGAATTTACAGAAAGAGAATGGCGGACTATTTAGTGTCAAAACGCAATGCAAAAGCGCCTGTTTGGCTATATTTTGGGTTCAAACCAAATGCAAAAAAAAGAACCTAAAAATGTTAATGAGGCAATCTTCAAACTTTGCCTGACAAAGGTGGCAGCATCTGCAGGAAACACTAATTTATACATGCACCTTCAACACACCTGATGTTTAACTATGTATGGGTCGCGGGTAGATAAGATCAGTAGCCAAAAATACGCAACGCATACTCTCATTTTAAAAATCACACGACCATCATCTTACAATGTTTAATAATAAATATCTTATTTTTTTAAATTAAAACGAGTGATTTAGCAATGCCGTGCCATTAATAAGCCAGCTGCAGAGAAACAAAGCAACCATCACAACAACTGCAGTAACCACGTTTTCCAAAGTTCAGCTTTTCTTTTTTTCACTTGATTATGATGCGTTTAATGTTAAAACATCAATAATGAATAAGTCGACAAGAGTGTATTGTGTGTGTGTGTTTGTGTGCCCGCGCGCATTTTATCACTGAGGCCGCTCTCTTCAAGTAACGAAAATTGCTTCGTCTGTCTGGCAATATTTCAGCTTTTAATCGAATGAAAAGTTTATTTAGATGAGCCAATATTAAAAAAATTGCAGTAAAGTAACTGTGACGTGCGGCCACACATTGAATCTGAGGTCTGATCTCATCGCTTTCTCGCTGTCATCCAGACATAGACCCAGCAAAGGACAGTATTTTTGTTGGTAAGTCTTTTATTCTAACCTTTATGATTTATATGAAATATGTCCTTACAGGCCACTTATAGTTTCATTGCTATACAAAGTGTATCCTATAACGTATAGCATATAATGATAAACATAGACCTATAATGAAAAATGTAATGTTATATGAAATAAACAATTATATATATATATATATATATATATATATATATATATATATATATATATATATATATATATATAAAATATGTATTATTATTATTATATGTATATAATAAAAATAACTTGTTTACAATACAGGTGCTGTTCTGTTTAAAATTCCTATGTGGTAACTGAGTTTATTAGGTTAACTAGTATTGAGTTATTTTATGTGATAGTTAAATATATTTTAAATAAACTGCAAACAAAATATATATAAACTTTATTTATTTTTTTCTCAGATTCTTTCTTGAAACCCTTAGTCACATACCTGTCTGGTGGCTCATTATGCAGCTCATTATGCAGGTCTTTGTCTTCTCAGGTGTGACTCCCTGCATAGTAATGATAGTTAACGCCTTCTTGCATAAACCATTTTTACACAGAAAGTGACTTAGAAAATTTAATTCATTATATTGTTTTCTGTGAGCAAGTGAACAAGATGATTCTCACATCATTTTAAATGATTTGAGAATCAATGATGTAGTCATTTACAATGATGTAGTCAATGATGTAGTAATTTAAAGTCTACAAGATCCAGTTCTCAAAAGTCTTGTGCACAAATGTTCTCTGTGTGTTTCACGGCCTTGTTACAGTGGCTTCAAAATTTTTGTTTTTCCCCTACCACGCATAAACATTCCTTTCTCAAAAATACAAACACATACAAACATGCTGCTTAGGTATTATTGTAGCCCAACTTGTGCTGTTTACAGTGTTATCACACTTTAGCCATTAATATGTTTTAAAGATACTGAAAACAACACAAATGTCAGTGCATGTCCAAACTTCTCCAGAGCCCCAAAACACCCTCAGACCCCAAAGGGTTAAGGTCTGTCACACCCTAAAAACAACTTGTCAGTTATAGACTTTTGTCTAAGCAAAGTCAGACCTTACTGTCCTCATGAAGAAATTAAAAATCAAGGCAGATCATATTTAATTTTGGTAATAATTTTGGTAAGCGTAATCTAGAGGCCTTTGCCTTTCATATAACTTCTGATACCAAATGATCAACTAGAAGTCAAGTTATTATTTGTTGTTCCTAAAACTTGGATAGGCGACAAGACTTTTGTCAGGTAGTGTATATGTATTATTTATTAATATATATATATAAACTGACATTTTAAAAACTGTTTATACTGTATTTTTTGTCTGATCAATGTACGTGCAACAATGTTTTCCTTTATTCCTGTCCTGTTTCATATGACAATATACACTATATCACAGAAAATTAAACAACTCAGTAGAATTTTTGCATATTTTGAAAGCATTTATTTGTTTTGCATCATGCAGTGGTCAATGAAATAGCTGGCATAATTATTAACAGGATACTTCGATCATCATCATTCCACCTTGACAAGCTTGTATATACTTTTAGTCATTATTAATTGCATAGCACTACTGTAGATTTAAACAGAAGAGTAGATAAAACAACACAAATTTTAGCTTGTTGTCTTCAGTTATACAAACATTTGTTGAACAGCGTGACTACTGAATTGTATTTCTCCTCCAGAAACTGCAGTAATTCCTTCAGTGTTTTTTCAGGGATTTTCTTCTTCTTATCTTCACTCTCGTCTTTGTTTGCAGCCCAGTGAGCTCGGGATACCCATGTGCTTTTCGTTTTATTATAGCAGCAGAATGCGTTCCACATGTGTGTGGGAATGTTGACTTTTTGATTCAAGTAATGTTCTTGATTCGGCACAGCTCCAGTCAGCACATAGGCAGGACGATTTTTTGCGCAGTCAGAATCCATTAATTCTCTAACATCATTCTCCATACGGTTCCAGCTGCCACCATTAAAGCTTTTATACTGTGGTACAACATTGGTCAGGGTGAATGTAGATTCAGCAATGTCTTTATTCGCTGCATGGCCATTGGGAAATAAGTGACCACGATCCAGTCTATACAATTTCTGGTAGTCTTCTGTATACGCCTGATTAACACGTCGTGCACGCATCTGAACACCTGAAGTTTCAAGCTGCACAACAGACGAAGATAAAATGATGGATATTAAAATGCTGCAAAATTTATCTTTTTTTTAAGTCATAAAAATGTAAAATTGGAATTTTAAAGGGAAAGATTGAAACTTTAGCTTCTCCTGTTTAAAATAATATATGTCACCTGATGCTGACTGCTGAAATAAGTTAGAGAAAACCAAAAATGCAAACATATTGGGCATCTTCATTAGCCCCTTTCACACAGTGATACCGGAAAATATCCGGAAAATTTACGGAACGACTTTACCGGTATGTTCAAAAAAGCGCTGTTCACACAGGCGAGGACGTTACGGAAATTTTCCGGAAAAAGAGCATTCACACATCCATTCCAAAATACCGGTAAATTCTGACATCATTCACCACAAATGAGCTTTAAACGGCTGCGCTTGTATTTGTAAACATTTGACTAAATTACAAACTCTTTTGATGATCAATATTGTAAACAACTTTCACAGGATCATATTCGCATTTCGAGATGTTCATAATATGTGCGTGTGCTGCCGCTCACAGGCTGTTTCATGGGCACACGCAAAGCTTGAAGGTAAACAAACAACGGCTAATCATAAGCATCTTATCGATGATTATTTGCACAGTTGGCATTAAGGAGAACATATAAACGTTATCTGACTAACTTCTAGCAGCTAAATGCGTCTGGAAAAATATTCAAAGGCTTTTATTCTCACAAACCGCGCGGACGTAAATGCGTCTGACTGTTGTGATTGGCTAAAGCAGAAGTCTTACGTCAGCACGTTCTAGACGTGCACGCGCTTATTCCGGAAATATTCCTTCTGCGTTCACACAGCGCAGCATTCCGGCAAATTGCCGGTAATGTTACAACTTCTCTTTCCGGAAAATAGCCAGAACGAATTTACCGGTATTTTCAAAAAGGACCTGTTCACACATACAACCTTTCCGGAAAATTGCCGGTAATTTTCCGGAAAGGTCTGTATGTGTGAAAGGGGCTATAGTCAGTAAATAGAATGTACCAGTTTTTCGCTGAAAAACACCTAGAATAACATTGGAATAAAATGCTATAATTTGCTTAGGGAAATGTGGATGTAGACAAAATTTATTTTGGAAGTATAAAACGAAAAGTGTTGCATGCAGAACTGTTGCAAACAATTTATTTGTGTATATATATAAATACATATATAACACATACTTTTTGAGACAAAAATATTCGGTTAATTTCTGATACAATATTAAATTAGAAACAATCACCTGTGGCTCAATCATCCATCGAATCTGTGGTCTTCCTTTCTTGAACCCAGTATATCTGTATGCTGAGAAAACAGGGATCTTATTTGTTGTATCGTAGAGGGTAGCAAATCTGTAAGCGTTCTTGTATCGTTGACAGATCAGTTTGTAGCGGTTGTTATCCTGGGAAACCGAATCCTTCAGAATGCCAGGAATCACCGGAGGCTTTCCCTCTAGAAAAAACTGACTGCATTTACTGAATGAATCTACAACTTCAGTAATGATGAAGGGAAAACTGAACACCAGCAGCGCAGAGACGACAGACCGACGCATCTTCAGCTGAAGTGAATCGTGAGTCAAAAATAAAGCTGAAGTAGTTGTAGAAATGCTATAGAAAGCTCCCACAATCAAATGCTGAACCTCACTGAATGAAGTATTTATACTGTGTGACAATAGAAATGACGCCTGCACACGGAAGCCTATGAGCTTCTCAGAAGAAGACTTGCATTTCAGCACATCACATTCTGATGTGTTAGGTTTTTTTGACACTTCATTAAGCCCACAAGCCTGCACTGCATTAAAGGAGACCTTTTATGCAAAAATGCCATTTATAAAGAGTTTAAAGGCAGTATTGTGTGAATATAACCAGCCTTTAATAATAAATGTTGATTAATTATATTATCTATATTTTTATTTATAAAAACAGCGAATGATCACATTGTGATATCGATGCTAAAACGATATATTGTGCAGCAGCAGCCCTATAATGTATTTATTTAAATTAGGGGATCCAACAGTTTTGACACATGCGCTGTAGGTGAATTGATTAAACTAAATTGGCCATAGTGTTTGAGTGTGTATGGGTGTTTCTCAGTACTAAGTTGTGGCTGGAAGGGCATCTGCTGCATAAAACACTGAAAAAAGTGTTGCATGCAGAACTGTTGCAAACAATTTATTTGTGTTGAATTTAAACAAACAAATAAAATTTAGTAATGTTCAACTTAATTTGTTTGTTTAAATTCAGTCCAAATAAATTATTTACAACCACTTAACGTAAATCCAAGGAATCATCTTTGAATAATTTCTTTCAGTGTATTGGCCGTTGATTCCGCTGTTGTGACGCCTGATAAATAAGAGACTAAACAGAAAGAAAATGAATTAATGAATAATACAAATGTATAATATAGGGATGTAACAATATTGTAAATACCGTCATACCGCAATAGTATTTTTTTAATATTACCGTAGGCCCATGACTCAATAAAACTATATTTCTGAGAAAAGTTTGCTCAGGCGAATGAAGCGAACGGGAGGTAGCGGGAACTACAATTACCATCAGCCTAGGCATGGCCATCATTTTCTTTCTAAAAAGATACGAAAAAGGAGAAAAGGTGACAGACAAAGAAAAAAACAGTATGCTGGCACTGCCAGACTGTGGTGAAATATAAGTCGGGGAATACGACTAAAAACAGTCATGGGGACTGCAGAACACAGCACACTTGTTAGATTGATGCAGACATTGGCTTGTACCGCAAAGAGACCTCTATCTCACTCATGGCTTGTCCTCTCAAGTGGTGGAAAGACAATGCGCAATGTTACCCACTGCTGTCAACCTTGGCTAAATCATATCTCTCTGTCCCAGAAACCTCAGTTCTCAAATGAGAGGGTTTTTTCTGTTGCAGGGACATCCCCCACAGATCCCAGCTTTACCAGATTATAGTTATATGATAATTTTCCTTAAAAACCCCCATCTCTATCTAAGTGAGTGATTGATTAAATGTTGAATGTGATGAGTTTTCAACAATACTAAATTGAAACTTTATTTTTTTTTATATGGTTTAATAGTTTTTTGTTATTAAAATTGAAAAATTGAAGTTCCTGTTTCGAAACTCACAGATAGATGGCTAATTTGTATGTCATTGATATGTTCAGTGCTCAGGTAAATAAACCCTTTTGGCACTTTTTTTGAGTCTTTTCATTAGTTTTGTTTTTCCTGTAAATTACTCAATGAATACCGTACCGTGCCTTTCACACCGAGGTATTATCGTACCGTGAAACTCTGGCACCGTTACATCCCTAGTATAATACCAAAGTAACATTGTTCTTTGTATTCGAAAGTGAATTTCCTGAAATCTATACCGAGTGCTAGACAAAGTCTGAGGGACATTTACAATCATCAAATATCATTATTTCAGATCATCAAACTAATTTAAATATTAGTCAAAGATAACACAACCGTAAGTACACTTATTGTGGTTTAATTTCAGGTTTTTATTATTAATAGGAAAAAAAATACAACACTATATATCCCAGTGTGCTTTATGATTAAATATAGTAAATGTACATGTCATTCTGAAGACAGAAGAGAAATAGAAATGCCTTTTCTGCATTTCTCTCAGTCCTTTTCTCCTCTGGAGGTCGCTAATGCTGCGTCCTCTTTAGGTTCCTAATTTAGAATTTGCTTTAATAACAATTATGTAATACATAACAAACTATTTTTTTTTCCTTTTGCACTTAAAATTTTTAGCCCTAAATTGAAGATTTAATTTGTTAAATTGCCTGGGATCATACATAAAGGATACATGAATGATTTCAGTAGATTCATTGAGTTTTAAATGCACAAAAATCTGACCTATATGGATTTATTTTAATAGTTAGTTTCTTCTTTCTCATATATTTTTTCATGACTTTGAGCAGTACTTTAAATAAATGTAATATTTGTTAATCCACAGTTATAGTCCTATAATAAAATAATCAATTGGTTTGACGTTTCATTAAAATTATATTTTATTTATATAAATGCATATAGTTATTTCAACATGTTACTCACACATTTTAGAAAGCTCAGTCAGCCTGCAAAAGGAGAAAAGTGTGTGAAAGGAAAAATCTTGCGTATTAGTACTGTAGACGTCTATAGCATGACATTGAGTGAGCAAATCCAGAAGAGGAGTTTAGTTTTCTCTGTAGAATAGAATTTATTAATTAGCTCCAATTGATGGAATTAAATTTTGACTGATTAAATTTTCTTTTCGCAGATGAACTTGTATGTATGCTCGCAAGAAACATCAAACCAGCTTTTTAAATAGTTGAGAGCATATTTCACAATAGCACAGTGTTCTCCAGAGGGATCATCCTTTGTCCAGTTGTCAGGTTCACTTTTCCCAGATTGCCTCTTGTACCAAAACCTTCAATAGCAGAAACAGACAATCAGGGTTCAGGTTTTTGTTCAAAAATAAAGTGTAGAAAACTAGGCTTTTGCTTAAAATTAAACAATAGAAATAATAATGATAAAAAAATATCACAACAGATATATCTATTTTCATATATTTATATTTGTGTTGCATTGAAAGTTAAACAAGTTCAGTCAAAGTTCTTACTCTACTCCAGTGTCATTAAGAGTCTGATTGTTCACCCAAACCCAACGTCCTTCAGTCTCCAGATCACTGAGTCCAATCCATGTCCATTCGTTCATTTTAGATTGCAGAAATGCCTTATGGAAAGACACATTTTGAATAAATTGTATATTTGAGTTAAAAAAAGATTGTGTTCTGCTGTTTCTATTATTGTGAAGTACGTCAAACATGTAGGGCTCTATTTTGACGACCTAGGCGCAAAGTCCAAAGCGCAGGGCGCAAACGCATTAAGAGCGTGTCGTGTCAGAATCTACTTTTGCTCATAAAAGGACAGAAAAATCCTCTTTGCGCTGTGGCGCATGGTCTAACAGGGTTGAGCTTATTCTCCTAATGATTTATACAACCCGGGCTCATTGTGGAAACGTAGTCCCGCGGACGTTTCTGGAGACCGCGGAATACGTCCCGGCGGGTACGAACGGCTGCAGTTTTTGTTTTCGCGAATCCGCGAGAGGCCGCTGTTGCTCGCTTTTCCGCACCTCAGACGCCTCTCTCGCGAGCGTGGTTTGCACCCGCGCTGTTCTCGCGTGAACCCGCCAGAGGCCGCTATCCGACTGACCGGATGATTGACTGCGCGACCGGCCAATCGGCCGACTCGCCCTCCTCCTTCCCTGAACCCAACTGATTTTACCGATCGATCCGCCCGCCCGCTCGCTTCCCTAAACCCGAGCAACAGTTTACAAAAGCCGTCCAAAAAAATAAAAGCCCTGATTTTTATTATTCCACCGCGTTTTCGGATTTCGCCGCGTTCTCACCCTGTCACGAAACTCGTTCACTTAATTTTTGGGATTCTGTTTTTGTCTTACCTGATTGCTGGAGCTGCTCTTCCCCGGACTCGAAACGGTCGCCGTGGTCGACCCCTCTCCGCATCTCGAGCCTGCCGACGTACGCGCTGAGCTGAGTGGACAAACGGGTTGCACCGGGGAAGCCCTCCACAAGGAGGTAAGGCAAGCGCGAAAGGGAACAGCGTCACAGCGTCACACCGCCCCACAGCGTTTGCTTGAAAAAAATAAACGCGGCCGTACGTACCCCCCCATATTCCGCTGTCTCCAGAAACGTCCGTGGGACTACGTTTTCAATAGTGCATTTTGAGAATAAACCAATCAGAGTCTCATCTCTTATTCCCTTTAAGAGACAGTTGCGTCGCCACAGCGCATTCGCTATTTACATGACAGACTTTGTAAGTGAAAAAACTGAACACTTCACTAGCGAGAAAACAGATAAACAGAGCATCTGCAGCGCGAGAATGAGAGATGAGCCTTCTAATTAATTACTTTCACTTTCACTCTCGTGGATAGGAAAACATGTTTTACGCACAGACATCCATTAGCCTATAAACAATTAATTTTGTTTATTAAGCGCAAAGATTTGTTTCAAAACTATTTTTCAATTCAGTTCTAATTTCCAGCAAACAAATAAATGAACAACAATAATAATGAAGTGTGGTCAAAAAAACTGAGTTACATCCTAATACACATGCTGTCCAAGCTTGTTTTTTATTAAAACAAATATAAATATGCATAAAATAAATAATACAGCTAATAATAATATTATTACAAAAGCAAATTGTTATGAATGAACTGAGAAAGCCTCCCGAGATAAAGAAGGCATGAAAGTATGGTTTAATATTTATGTAGGCTAAAAAATTTAAATTTTTGTAATATTTTAATCCTTTAATTATTTTTCATATGTAAAGATGTTTGCGTATGTTTGCTCTGCATCCTGTGTGTATTAAGCAGTGTGTAAGTGAGGTGCACAACTAACGCGCTCTGCGCTGGACTATAGACGTGCTTTGATTTGGTCTATTGAACAGACTATTATAGTTCCTTAAATTAGCAACGCGCCAGCAATGCGCCTTAACACCCCACCTTTTTTAGACCAGAACGCCTATGGGCGCACATATGAACGCTAATGCATTTGCTATTTAAACAGCGTGCTGCAAAACGTCAACACGACTCTTGCGTCGAGCTGAAACTAGCGAACAACAATTGTTGCGCCAGGTGTATGATAGGGCCCATAAAGTTCACAGATTCAATGAACATCCAACAGCTTTAAAATGTCTCGCCTGTTCAGATCGGCTGGTTATGGTGACCAGATCGGTTCCTCTTGAAACACAGAAAGCTCGACTGCTTGACCAAGTTAGTTTATCAGAGCTGAAGAAATACAGCTTTCCTTGAAAAGCTGTCATGTTTGATGCTCTAAATGCTGAAAAAGGCATATGAAAGTGATTCATTAGATCTTTCAAACACTCTTGAATTTGCAGATGTTTGTTTGATGAACTCGTCGTCTAAATCTGTTATGAAAGATGATCAGCTCACCTTTATAAAAGGACTGTTGTTCTTTAATTCTGCTGTTGTTAGCTGTCAGCTCTTTCACCATGGCTGATTCAAGGAGAGACAAATTAGAGAAATGAGTTAAAAGACTCACTCATATTTATTCAACAAAAATGAGTCATTGGAATAAAGGTGGTTTGGCTCTGAAAGTAACACAACTCACAGTCTTTAATGTGGAGATCATCTTTAACTCTGCTGTAGTTCGCTGTCAGATCTTTCATCATGGCTGATACAAGGAGAAACGAGTGAGAACAAATTAGAGGAATGAGTTTGAAGACTAAATGTTGTTTATTTAACAGAAATAAATTATTTTAGGTAAACGTGGTTTGAAATTAGGCTTGGGTCTGACGGTAACATAACTCACAGTCTTTAATGTAGAGGTCATCTTTAACTCTGCTGCAGTTTGCTGTCAGTTCCTCAAGCTGTCTCTTCATGACTAAAACAAAAGCAGCGAAGAAAGAAAGAGAGAGCCCAGGTGAAAAAGAAGTGGTCTTTAAATATATTACTTGAATAGGTAGTATGTTTAAAGTACAATTAGCACAAACAACATGCATATTTAAACTGCTATTTAAATATATTGGTTTGCATTTTAATGTATTCATTACATGTATTCAATGTACTACAAGTACATTGGTAAAAAAATATGCGTAATTGCACTATTCAAAAATATTTTGGAACGCAAGCATACTATTTATGCATTTTAATGTATTTACACAAAACACACTAATTTTATTCTTAAAGTATGTTTTATGTGTACTTTGTATAAGAACATTGGGAAACAGTGCTAGTTTGAGTGTGTTTAAAGTATTGTATGTTGTTTTTTGTAATTGTTTTAGACATAATGAAGCATTTTAAATACTGCAAATGAGCAAGTGCTTAAGCCTGTATTTTACTAAATATTCTAAAAATGTTACTTTACGCTGTTGTACAATGTTAATTGTCAATCAAAAAAGTTGAAAATTACAGTTTTCAAGCATTAAAAACTGTGCAGATTTTTGTGTTTGTATTGTACTTTTACGGCATATTTTTATTATAATTAAAATACATTCTTCTGAGTAATTTAGTTATTTATTTATATATATATATATATATATATATATATATATATAAAGTGGGTCTTGTAGTACTCTGCAAATGTATAGCAAGTTTAGTAATAACACATTAATATGAATCTTACAATATTTTTTTAATAAATATACTTTCACTGAGCTTAAACAATAAACAATACTGAGCTTAAACAATACTAGTTTTAAAATAAACTTCAGCTGTGCTTAAATTATATCTTATCTGAACTTAAAGTATATTCCAACTGGGTTTTTACTATACTTTAATTGGTTTTAAAATGCACTCATGCAGCTGGGCTAAAAATACACTTCATCTGAATTTAAAGTAAACTTCAACTGTGTTAAAAATATACTTTAACTGTATTTCAAATATACCATTTAAATGTACTTTAAAGAAAAAATACCCTTTTAGAAGTACACTTTAATTGTACTTAAAGTATGCCCATTTTAACACAACTAAGTATGTTACAACATATTTCAAATAGCTTAAAATTAAACTAAAGTATATGTAAAATAACAATTAATATGCTTGAAGTTGTTCCAAAATAACACATTCAATATCCACTTAGTATAGTTCAATTAAAGTATGACAATTACGTCTAAAAAAAAAAATACAACTTAATTTTTATACCTGGGAGTTCTTTTTATTTTTACCTTTGAATGAAACATGCTGCAGTGTATTGAGTGCAGTGATATCTAGTCATGAAACATACTGTCAGTGCTGAGAGAAACACATTACATAAGCAGTGTCATTACAATCACCCATCATAATGTTTCATTGTAACAGTAATATAACACATTTTGTGATGTGGGTCTGCACGTGAGGCAGTTGTTTTGCATATGATAGTCTTCTATTTAAAGGTGCTTTATGTAAGTTTTTGAGTCTTCTAAAGACTTTAACCTGCCCTTAAGTGTGTTTTGAACCAGGTGTGCAATACCTAGTTCAACCACTGGGTGTCAAACATATGGCACCTTTAACCTTTAGATGGAGTTGAAGATTGTCTTGAATTTCCCGCAAAGGGGAGTGACGTCCTTGTCATTTAAAACTCTATGTCATCAGTTGTGTATCTTTCTCTACGTTTATTTAGTAGATCTCACTTCACCGCAAAATTGCTCATTGTCTTTTTGGCTGAATGTATTTTATTTCTTTCTCTTTTTGGTAGAAAAACTTAGCTAAGCTGTTGTGTTCATCATGTTTTGTGTATTTTCAGTATTGGTAGTGGACGTAAAGGGATAGTTCACCCAGAATTCTGCCATGATTTACTCACCCTTTACTAGATCTAAACGTGAACAGAAAAGAAGATATTTTAAAGAAAGCTTAAACATTTAATCACTGACTTCTGTAGTATCTGTTTTTCCTACAAAGGAGGTCAGTGGATACAGGTTTTCAGTTTTCTTCAGAATTTTGTAATCGAACATCATAATTTTATTGACGTAATTAGCTGAGATTATTAAAAAAAATATCCAATACTGATTATGCATCAGCCATTTTGCAACTATAAATACTACGATTTTTCACTTTTTCAAATTGATTTTGTTTCTTCAATTTTATTTCGCTGATGCGACTAGATATTGAGCCATTGAGCAAAGCAATATAAGCATTCAGTTCTCATGACTCTTGGGAAGATCAACATAGTGCATCATCTCAAGTCCACTAAAAGACTGGCACATTCAATTAAAATAAATTAAAATTCAAATGTTTTACTCACTTTTGGTGTTAGTTTGGGCAGACTGTTGCGTTAAAGCCCTGACATCTGAATAGAGACAGAACACAAGCAGTGAATTCACAAAGAAAATCTACATGTCTGTTATTCTGCTGTAGATGTGAGTTATACGTACACAGTATGCTTACAACACAGAGACCTCCAAGAGCAAAAACCAGAGACACAGCAAAAACAGTCAGCAGAAGTTTATTCCACTTTGCGGTATTGACTTCCCTCTCACTTTCTTGCTCATAACTGTGGTTTCCTGTGGTTAGAAATGTAAAGGAAACTATTAATTTCTAAACCATAAAAAACTACACTACAGCATTTCTTTTAGGATCTAACATGATTTGGTTCATGTACATTTTATTGAATTATTATTATAATTTTTTACTAAATACAATAACAATTCACAAAAACGGGCTGTCTTCTAGTCCCCTAAACATATAGCTTAAAGTTTCAGTGAAAGCTACATTTTATTGAATATTTAACATGTATTTTTTAATTGAATGTTTGCCATTGTGGTTTGCCATGACCACTGTTACTCCACAGATATGGAAAAATGCAAATAATTCATGAAACAAACTGCTAAGAAAACCTGAAGTACTGTACAGTAAAACTGGATATAATTCAATGACAATAAAGCAACCGAGACAAACGGGTATATACACTCACAGGCCACTTTATTAGGTACACATTACTAGTACCGGGTTGGACCCCCTTTTGCCTTCAGAACTGCCTTAATCCTTTGGGGCATAGATTCAAGCTACTGGAAATATTTCTCAGAGATTTTGCTGCACATTGACATGATAGCATCACACAGTTGCTGCAGATTTGACGGCTGCACATCCATGAAGCCAATCTCACCACCACATCGCAAAGGTGCTCTATTGGATTGAGATCTGGTGACTGTGGAGGTCATTTAAGTACAGTGAACTCATTGTCATGTTCAAGAAACCAGTCATGATTGGCGATTTATGACATGGCACGTTATCCTGGTGGAAGTAGCCATCAGAAGAGGGGAACACTGAGGTGAAAAAGGGGCGGACATGGTCAGCAACAATACTCAGGCAGGCTGTGGCGTTGACACGATGCTTAATTGGTAATAGTGGGCCCAAAGTGTGCCAACCGCCCTGCCCCTCACCCCATTCCAACCAACACCATTACACCACCACCACCAGCCTGAACCGTTGACACAAGGCACGATGAATCCATGCTTTCATGTTATTGATGCCAAATTCTGAACCTACTGTACCATCTGAATGTCGCAGCAGAAATCGAGTCAGTCAAGGCAATGTTTCTCCAATCTTCTATTGTCCAATTTTGGTGAGCCTGTGTGAATTGTAGCCTCAGTTTTATGTTTGTGCCCATCCGCTTCAAGGTTGGACGTGTTGTGTGTTCAGAGATGCTCTTCTGCAGACCTCGGTTGTAACGAGTGCTTGTTTGAGTTCCTGTTGCCTTTCTATCAGCTTGAACCAGTCTGGCCATTCTCCTCTGACCTTTGGCATCAACAAAGCATTCGCGCCCACAGAACTGCCGCTCACTGGATATTTTCTCTTTTTCAGACCATTCTCTGTAAACCCTAGAGATGGTTGTGCGTGAAAATCCCAGTAGATCAGCAGTTTCTGAAATACTCAGACCAGCCTGTCTGGCACTAACAACCATGCCATGTTCAAAGTCACTTATATCACCTTTCTTCCCCATTTTGATGCTCGGTTTGAGCTGCAGCAGATCGACTTGACCATGTCTACATGCCTAAATGCATTGTGTTGCTGCCATGTGATTGGCTGATTAGAAATTTGCTTTAGCAAACAGTTGGACAGGTGTACCCAATAAAGTGGCCGCTGAGTGTAGTTTTGCATCTTTTCTGAACAATTGATTTGCTAATAAAAAATTTCATGGTCACATTCACACCACTTTTCACGTTGGCAGATATTAAAAAACAACTCTTAGTTTTTAAAAATGTTTTTCATGATCTGCTATCTGAACTACAAAAAGACCGTTCTTTTATTTACATGATAAGGTTGACATGAATCTATAAAATCCATATATTCAAACACTGATTTATCCGAGTAAGACAATATGATTAAGGTGATTACATGAGTTGCTTTTTGAATGACCCTTTCATGGTCCCGTTTCACACGTTATAGTAGATCGATAAACATCATTGCATCACTGCGGCTGTCCAATGTTTCCGCCAGAGTTTCACTTAATTCCGGCTGGTTCATTTTTAGTTTTTTGACTTTAACTGCAGTTTGGCACTTTCACTTTTATTCCGGTACATTTCATTCATGCAGCTTCTGATAAATTGAGGGATTGGATCTCTTTAGGTGCAGAGAATAGTGTCAAACGGCTGTGTGTGTATTGACAATCCTATTGCCAAATGCGGCGAAGTCTTACATTATGTTAATAGTTTGATTGAGGTGTTCACATGTCATACTGCACTTCAATAATGCCACTAAAATCGGCTTACTCCACATGTCTTTATCCCATTTCCGTTTAGTTTGTCTATGACTTTAGTCAGATTAAGGTCATCAAAAACTTTAGTTTACATTGTAGACTCTTTATCAGAGTATTGTCTTAATCATATTAAAATCGGAGTATTAGTGTCCATGTAAACATACTCAATGTTAGCCATTTTAGACAAAAGCATCTACTGAATGAAGAAAACCTATATTTGACCAATAAAATGCTCATTTCTGCAAACTGATAAGATTGCAGCCCTACCTTCATTCCGAGAGTTTTCATTTGAAGCAACCGTTGAAAGGACGATTCTAGAATTTTCATAGACTGAGTCCATTTCATGAGCCTGACAGAAGATGAGTTGGCTAATGAGATCTGAGCACTGCTTGAAAATAAGGAAGTCTCATAAAATGCTACTCATCAATATAGACAGGAAGTCAGTTTAAGTTTGTGCCATGTCAAAAAATAAAGATGACACAAGCATCCCAGTGTAGATGAACTAAACTTGACATTCAAAGATCAGAGACCTTCTAATGCTTTTTTAAGTCTAATATAAAGCAAATAATCTCAAATATGGAAAGAGCTAAGCTTGTTTTTGTGGTGTTTTTGGAGGCATGACTATATCACCAAATCTGTCAGTTTTGTTCTTTAAAATGCTTCATTTAAAATGTGAGTTACCCAGTACTGGGTTGCAGCTGGAAGGGCATCCGCTGTCTAAAGCATATGCTGGATAAGTTGGCAGTTCATTCTACTGTTGCGACCTCTGATTAATAAGTGAAGTTTAATTTATTAAACTAATTTCGAGAGGAGTACGTACTCATGATTAAACCAGCTGGCTCATATTAGCTAATCACGATCCTTCAATCAAGGATCCCTAGTTCCCATATATATCTCCTCCTTTTCCACTTACAACTATCTTCGTCTTGAAGAATCCCCCCTCCTCCCCCTCTTCCACCTTTATCCAAAATAAGTAGCTCGGCGGCCCAGCAGCAATACCAATAGCTCCGGCTACCTACTGAGCTTCTGGTATCTCTGCGCGGCGCTAGCCTGCAGTTCTCTCTCAAAAAAATAAATAAATAAAAATAAAAATAAATTTCCGCATCGTAGACCTCTTAAACCTACGACTAAAAATTTGTCGTCTCGCTCTCAGGAAGTTCACCTTGGCTAGCTGCGGGGGAGTTGTGAGATCGCCCTGAACTCAATCTCCCTTCGCCCCACAAAGGGAGGGAGCCCTGCACTCGAGGAATGCCTTGAGCTCATGGCTCTCTCCCGGGACAGCATGCCAAAGGAGCGTTCGTAAGTCATGAGCTAAGTGTGAACTCTTGAAAGGGACTAAACCGAAGGAAAATGAGGAAATATCTTGTTCGTTACCTTCTGCCATCAAAAAGATTTTCACTTACTGAACCGCTGCTTGCTAATTATTATTACTATTTTAAGAATTTCCTTAAAATTTTTGTTTGACCGATGTTGGATTTTGCAGATATCTATAGCTTGGTTGGACCGTACTTGCTGATCACCTATTAAAATGTGATTTCTCAAAACAAGACAGTATTTTTGCATGTCTAAAAACTGCTTTTTGATTGAACAATTGTTCAATATTTGGACTAGAAACAACAAAAATAAATCAATAAAATCTCTTTATTTTTTTTTACAGTGTACAGGTTTTTGTGCTTTCAGTTTCGTTCTTTTCCTTAAAACAATTAAGTAGGAGTTTTCACATACTGTAGTTCTGAGATTTCTAACTTGTGGTTGTTATGAGGTTGCTATTTGGTTGCTAGAGTATTCTGTGTGGTTGCTAAAGTGTTATGTTATGTGTAATAAACGTTATTAATGAAATTAACTTAAAACACAGGATAGTCAAAAGAAAAAAAATTCAAGAGTTCACACTTAGCTCATGATTTATACATAGCTTGTTTGGCATGCTGTCCCGGGAGAGAGCCCTTTTGCAGGGCGAGTGGAGATTGAGCTCAGGTCTATCTCAAACTCCCCCGCTGCTGAGGCTAAGGCGAACTTCCTGAGAGTAAGACATTATAAAAAAGGTTTAGGCTTGTTTTATCTATAATATAGAGCACATTTGGATGGTGGGAGGAAACCGGGGAACCCGGGGGAAACCCACGCGGACACGGGGAGAACATGCAAACTCCACACAGAAATACCAGATGGCTCAGCGAGGACCCAACACCATTGGTATTCTTGCTGTGAGGCAACAGTGCTAGTCACTGGGCCACCGTGCCGCCCATTCTGGATAAAGGAGGAAGAAGGGGAGGAGGGGGGTTTCTTCCAGACGAAGATAGTTGTAGAAAGGAAATGAGGATATATATAGTGGTTTGGGATCCTTTGATTGGAGGATCATAATTAGTTAATGTGGACCAGCTGGGTAAATCATGAGCACATGCTTCTCTCGAAATTAGTTTAAAACTAAACTTCACCTAAAACAGTATTGTTTTTCAAAATCCTTTTATTTTACACACCAAATTATTTTTAAAAGCAAAAATTTGAGGTTTATTGCACAACATAACAGAACAATATATAAAGACTAACAGATGTATTCCTGCAACATTTCTCTTTACCTCTTTTGGTTCTATCTTTTTTATCTTATTTAAACCAATATCAGACTTAAATGCAGGATTAAATAAGTAGCAATAATTCACATTTTCTCATTTACTGCATTTTTGTTATTAAAGCAACTTCCACATTAGAATCCTCACACAATCAGCAATAGAGTTGTAGAGGACGCAGCATTAGTGACCTCTGGAGGAGAAAAGAACTGAGAGAAAAGTGGAATAGAAAAAGGGCATTTTTATTTCTCTTCTTTCTTCAGAATTACATGTACATTCACTGTATTCACTCAGCTAAAGCACACAAGTCTATATACTACTACCTTATATATATATATATATATACTCTCAGAAAATATGGTACAATGTTGTACCAAAGAAGGTACAAACCCCATGTCACTGAGGCAGTACCTTTTTATGGAACAGAATTGTACCTTAAGACAAAGAATCAAATTTGTAAAATTGCAGTTTGTACCTTTAAGGACATGATTTGTACTAAACATCATTTGTGAAATATTAAAAAAATTCCTATTTAAAAAAATTCAAAGGGCGGCTAATAATTCTGACTTCAACTGTAACTTGTAATGTATGTTAGTTCAGATAATCAGGTTTATTTTCAAGAAAAGTTTCAATACAAACTAGTTTTACACACACAGTATACTGAGCAGAAATTGTAATGGTCTTAGGGTAAAACCCTGAGGTGGATCACCACAGATTCTGCTTAGTCTATGTGCAATGTTTTAATTAGTTGTGTTTGAAAGCAGTTGTTTTTGAACAGTTTGTAATTTCTGTTATATTGTTTCTTCAAAAACTGCTCCAGTTTATCCAGAGATCTTGTAGGGATATCTATAGGGTTTCCCTCACGTTTGTTTTCACCCCAGTGAGCCTGAGATACCCATGTGTGTCCGGTGCTGTTATAGCAGCAGAATGCTGTCCACATGTGTGTGGGAATGTTGACTCTTTTTCGCAAGAAATTGCTTTTGCTTGGCACAGCTCCCGTCAGAACATAGGCTAGAGTCTTCTCAGGGTTATTTCTGTCCCGGCAATCAGACTCTATGATACTTCTAACCTTTTGCTCCATACGGACCCAGCTCCCATTATTGAAGCTTGTCACCTGCGGCACAATGTTGGTCAGGGTGAATGTAGATTCAGCAGTGATGTTGTCCGCTGCATGACCATTAGGAAATAAGTGGCCACGAGATATATTGTATATATCTTTAGTATAGTAGTCCCCTGCTTCAGCCTGATTGACACATGGTGCACGCATTTCACTATTATCTGAAGATTCAAGCTGCATAAGACATAATAAAGAGAGAGAAAAAGAGTGCCAGTCATTATTGAGGACTTAAAAACGAAAGTAAATTAATGTTTGTACACTATAAAAGTTGATGAGAGAAAAACACTTTATAATAACACACTATGAATCATTTATCAAGCATTAGCAAATAGTGAATTAATTATATGTTAAGTATTAACTCTACATTAATTATTGTTAGTAAGCAGTTTATAACTGCAATTACAAATGCTCTATTCTTAATTTATAAGTGCATGTATAGTGTGCTTAATGATTGTATTTTTATACTTTGTTAATGAATTATTTTTCATTACTAAACTAATTACTGCATTATTTACAAACCAGTTATTTAAGAATATTCATCCATTCATAAATGTATTTTCTTTTCGGCTTAGTCTCTTTATTAATCCGAGGTCACCACAGCAGAATGAACCGCCAACTTATCCAGCATATGTTTTACTCAGCGATTGTCCCCTTCAAGTTGCAACGCATCACTGGGAAATATTTAGGAATAGTTGGTGATTTTTAAAGATAATTTCGAATGACTTTGTAAATGATAAACTATTCAAACTACATTTATTATTCTTATTCTTCAGGCATATAGGTAAAGTTATTTGTATGTTAATAAATGCTTTATTAGCTCAGCTTCATCCAGTTTTGTGACCTAATCTAAAGTGAGGACTATTTATGCCTTTTAAATCCCTTATAAATGACAATTAAAGGCTCTGTTATATTCTATGTTTTTACAGTAATTTCACAATAATTTTATTTTTTTAAAAGGGAATGCAAAGATTATTGTTCATTTAAGCTAAACTGCATGAAGTTGTGTTAATAAAGCGTTTATTAACATACATAACCATTACTATATGTCTGAATAATAAGAATTATTAACGTTGATTTCAATAGTTTATTAATCATTTAGCATTCTGAATGATCTTAAAAACCATCGACTACTCTTAAATACAAATGATCTGTAAATAATGCAATACTTAATTTAGAATTGAAAAATCAATCACTCAGAAATTATAAATATGGCTTATCGCTAGGGCCAGACGAAATCTGTGGACGTTTTTTGCTATTTCTGCGGAGAATTTTGGTGGAAGTCTGCGGATTTCTGCGGAATTTTTTTGGGGAGTATCATAACTAAAACCTTAATATATTAAATAAAAAACGATATATTTTTAAACTTTTATTTAATGTTTAAAATGTAAATAGATTAACTTTATTTGAAGTAAATAAAGCAAGTTTGTCTTATAGTATATCTACTAAAAGACAGAAAATATTTCTGAACAAACTGCATTGTACATAAATCAGATGAACATTTTCATATTAGTCAATACTATTTCTGTAATTAATTTAAAAACTGAATAAATACAGATTTACACACATTTACTCAAGTATATAAACAGATTTAATGACGGGCTAAAAATTTGTGCAATTCTGCGCGCGCAGATTCCGTGTGGGCCTAGTCATAAGTCAAAAATACAGCATTTGTAACTGCAGTTATGAACTGCTTACTAACGTTTATTAATGTAGAGTTAATGCTTAAAAAAAATAAAGAATTTATTAGATGCTAATGCTTAATAAATGATTCATAGTGTGTAGTCATTATAAAGTGTTACCAAAAACTTAGTATTTACTATATTTACAAGTTTTGTGTTTTAACATTTGATCAAAATTCATGGCCAAAAATGGACTTACAGATTCATGTCACTAAACAATAAACATCACCTGTGGCTCGATCATCCATGATAGACGTGGTCTCCCTTTGTAACTTCCAGTATATTTGTAGGCTGAAAAAACGGGAATCCTGTGCGGCAATCTTTCTGAAAATTTTATACTGTAGAAAGTTGCAAATGTGTAAAGATTCTGATATTTTTGACAGATGATCTTGTGATTGTCATTCAGTGAGACTGATCCCTCGAGAAGGCCAGAAATCACCGGAGGCTCTCCATTTAGAAAAAACTGACTGCATTTACTGAACGAATCTACAACTTCAGGTGTGATGAACGGAAAACTGAACACAAGCAGTGCAGAGATGACAAGCAGATGCATCTTCATCTGAACTGAATCACGAAAAAAGCGACTAGAGAAAGGTCTGACAGGTCCAACTCCTGCCTCACTGAATGAACTTAAATACAGCGTTCACATTTAAATAGTGTCGGACAGAGAACACACCTACACACACTCGCTACTATGATGTCAACTCAAACAGGGTTTATGAGAAACAGACCTGAATTGCTGGAAAAATAGACAAGTGAATGAATAACGAAATAAATAGTAATAACAGTGTAACTTGCCAGTATAAGCAATCAGAGGTGGTTTGTGACTTTCTTAGTTATAAATATTCCAGCATAATTTATTATCTATTATAATATTTATTTATTTTTAATTCACATTTGCAGTTATGTTTTGTTTATTTCTGAGCTTTTACTTTTATAATTTGCCTGTCTGTTTGTTTGACCTTTGGATTGTTATTCTGGACTCTGATTGTTTGCTGCTCATTTTCGACCTTGATCTACAGTATGTTCTCTTACTGTTGCAAGCCCCAAATCTCGCCTGCTCATGTTTGTGCCACGTGTCAGGCTCTTCACAACAAATACGAAATGCCTATTTTATATTTTCGTCTTATTTAGTTAAAATGCAAGCTTGTTGTTTGCCGATTTGCTGCAGTTTATGTAATGTGTTGTCTGCAAAATCTAATAAAATAAAAGTATTATAAATTTTTTAAAATAAAATTATTAAATAAAATATAAAAATAAAATTTATATAAATAAAAAAATTCCCAGTACTGGGCTGTGGCTGGCAGGTCATCTGCTGTGTAAAACATATGCCGGAATAGATGATGGTTCATTCCGCTGTGGTGACCCCTGATAAACAAGAGAGTAAGCTGAAAATGGATGAATGAATTAATAAATAAATAACATTCAGTTAAAATAAAATAAAATTTAAAATAAAATTATAATTCTAGTCCATGTTTTTCTTGGAAATGAACAATGTGTCATTTAAACTGTCCACTCTCATGGCTTTAACAAAAATATAAACCAGCATAACACTAAAACGATACATATTTTGAAACTGAGAAGCTAACATAAATTTATTTCTGTTAATGTTAAATTCTGTAAATATGAATTTGCTGTTAAGACACAACACTTTACTCAGATACTCGAAGCTTCTTTGTTCTTCATTCCAGAAGGGAAAGCATACCAAAGTACAGCAAGCTAATGTTTATTTAATGCCTAATGTTTACCTGGGCATCCTACAGAATAGTTTCAGTGGGAGTTTAAAGGTTTTAGTTTAAAGGGCACGTATTATGCAAAAATCTATTTTATTGGGGTTTTAAATGCAGTTGTGTGGCAACAGGTTGTGAATATAACCATACACAATAATTCAATTTTTATAATCACACTTGATTAAAACAGTCTGCAGAAACACTTTGATTGACATTCTCCCTTTGTACCTCCCATCAGAGGGGGAAAGCTCCACCCATTAGGGATGATCTCATTAGCATAAACAGCCCTGAGTGAGAAGCAGCAGGTTGAGAATTACAGGGGTGTTTAGAGGGATTGACCCTCCTAATTAAGGCTTGATACACCCTAAAGGACGTCAAAATTAATCAAAAATAGATCAGATTTTCACCTGTCAATGCGAGTTGTGCAACCATAGCGAATGACGTCGAGTCTGACGCTTTCATTTTAGAGCAGACTTCAGCAGTCCCAAACCTTAAATCTCATACACGAGGACTTAAACAGCTTCCATATTGTCATAGAGCAAAATACAGATCAGTCAAACTTAAAGTTGACTCTGATCTGTATTTTAAATAATAATGTTATTAATCAAAATAATAGACATCCATTTGACCACCTCTATAACAGTTAATACCATTGTGACTGCATAATCACGACAATTAGTCCTAGTGAGAAAGCAGTCATTCAACAGTCTGAAACTGGCAGATTTAGAGCACCGATAGGCACCGTAAGAGTTCACAAGACATGGAGAAAACCACGTTTTCTCATAAAATAGCTGTTTGTTTCTACATATTGCCTAAAGGTAACATCAAATTAGATGCATTGTTTGCATAGCTTGTCCTAAAGTAAGCCGGAATAGCTTATCAGGTCAGAATACATTAAATAGCCTATATCCCACAAAACACTGAATACTTATATATATTTTATGAGTAAATTCGATCTAATTTAAGTAAACACATACATTTGGTTCACTGAAGTGTGTATGCATTACACTAACTAACATTCCCAAAAAGGTTGACCAACCCCCAATCATCAATGTACAATTGGCACACTGAGAAGCAGTCGCCTGCCTTTAGTTTCCACCTGCTCAAGATAATGACAGCGACTAAGAATGTACTATAAATGTTGTGTTTTATGACCTTAATTAAATACGTGCCTTCTTCTGAGCCACTTCTTTTGACATTTTCTGTTTTTCACAGAAATAACGTTAGTCCAGCTTTTGAGTCTGCCACTATGCTGATGCATAGGTATTTGTAGCTCTCCTCTCATTTGATTGTGCCAAAACGGCACAGTTAGTACCAAAGCCTAAAAGGGGCAGATTCAGAGAGTTATAGAAAATAGTTGTGGTGTATTCTGAGCTGAAACTTCACATACACACTATAGGGACATTATAGAGCTTTGTAAGTCCCCTTTACTTCTCAGAATGCTTGTTGCTGATGAAGCACTTTTGGTAATACAGTTTGTGATCTTAAATGGTGTGTTAATGGTGTGTCTCTTCTTGTTTTGTGTAGTGTATCATCTGCTGTAGTTCTGTCTGGTTTCCTTCAGGTCCCGTGTTCTTCTGGAGCTGTCCGTGGTGCTGCTTCAGATCTAGTCACTTACGCTAGTCTTCTGATAGTAGAACCAGTGTTAAAGTCATAGTGCTAGATTTAGCAGCGAGTAGCTTGGTAAAAGTGACAGGTGCAATTGTGCGAAACTGCTGCAAGTTAAATAATAGGTTATTTCTCTGATTCGAAGTTGCATTTTTATCATTATTATTATTATTATTATTAAACCAAAATTCATTTTGTATAAATATTATTAGTGCTGTAAGCAGTTTTTTTGTGGAATCTGTGATACGACACAGTCCAAAAGTATTATTTTTAACTTGTACATTTTTTTTTTATTTACAAATTATTCAAACAGAATGAATTATTTTGATTAAAAATATCAGCGAAGTAATTTACTTTTATATTTATTACATATAAATGTTTTTAAGTATTTATCAAATTCCATATATTCCACAAACATTAGCAATAACTGCACCCAACATTGAAAATAAAAAGAACCTCCAATTAATGACAAAACTAACCATTGAATAATGCTCCAGCATGTTAGATTAATTTCTCAATGATCCTGTGACACTGAAGACTGGAGTAATGTCTGTAAATCATTTTCGAAAATGTACTATAAGCAAAAATGGGATGACAGTACACAACATGAAATATGTACTAAATAAAACAATATAAAAAGTAGTATTGTAGATGATGTTCTGAACAGTGTGGTTCTATAATTCAACGCAAGAGGGCGCCAAACCCGCGCAAAAGAGAGCCAAAAATACAGAAATCCGTCCAGTAATATATGAACGTTTACAGATACCAGATTATTTGTTGTGCTCATTTGACCAAAACATAAAGTAGAAAAAGAATATTATACATGTACCTTTCAAATAACTGTAAATTAAGAGAGAAAAAAAGAAGACAAAATGCTGGTTGCCTTATATTTTTGAGCTGAATCAAATTATCCTTATGAGTCCATTGAGCTTATATTATGTTAAGCTGACTTACAACAGCTTGCGTAACTTATAAAATTAAATTAGAAGATGATTAAGTTAGTTACATAGTTAAATAAGTAACAATGAACTAAAAACATATGCTATCATGACTATTTGATCCTATTTTTTTTTACAGTGTACATACTAACATAAAATAATTACTTATTTGTGTTCAGGCTGTATTTTATTTATTTATTTATTTATTTATTTATTTATTTATTTATATTTGTATTATTATGATCTGTATTGGAATATACTTTGACCACAGTGTGTTTTCAACAATATATTACATTTATATGCTTGGACATTTATAGAACAGTATAACAGTAAAAAGTAAATGTTGGAAAATGTTTTAACTATGAATAAATATGAGCTGAATATACTGTCATTTTTCAAGTCATTGCTTATTAACAATGTCAATGTCTCAATGTTCGTTCGTTATCAAATAAAATCTGAGGAAAAATGTAATTAAAGAGGTTTAGATTTAGTTTTTTTCATGATAAAAAACATGTAAAGCACATCATATATTGAAATAAGTGCAATTTCCAACACTTTAAACATCCTTTTCTAACAAAACTGACGTTTTCAAAGAAAGTGCTTTGAACTGGTTCAGATCATATCTTAGTCACATAACTTTTTCTCCTCTGTAGCTCCTTTTTCCTCTGGTGTTCCTCGAGGTTCTTTTCTGGCTCCTGTGTTGTTTTCTCTATTGTTTTCTCAAGGATATATACAAACAATAAAACAAAGATGAATAAATGCTATATAATATATATTTCAGTTAATGCAGGACTAATGCATTCAACAAATGAGACCTTAATTTAATTGTCGGCTACACAGTTATAGTTAATGAAAGCCATTGATTTCATCACTTTCACCATGTTCACCGTGTTCTGCCCCTTGTTTGCTGTGGTTTGTGTGGGTTTGGGAAGAGGCTCACAGATCCTGATCTTTATTATGGCAGAAACAGGAGGAATCATCACAGGTCAGAGTCATTAACCTCAGCGATGAAACACACACGCCGAGTGTGAGCTAACAGAGAAACTACTGCAACAAACACAGTGAGAGATCACATACTGAAACACTCCATCAACACCACACACCCACACACACGCACACACACGCACACACACACACTCCTGATCCAACCCTCCTGTTGATGCTTCAGCCTCTCTGTGTGTTTGTTGGTCTCAGTGATCTTTACTGAGTTTTCTCTGTAATTAAATTTGTTTATCTGGTTTGATTTCCACGTATGAAAGCCTTTGTCATGGTCTAAAATGGTATATCACAACATTATTAATTAATTCAAACTGTTTATTCTGATACGGACAACTGAAGTGTTTCATTTCATGTCTGCTTTGTTTGAAAAGGATGTTAAAAATGTTAAAATGTC